AGGGGTTTTAAGATCAAATTAATTTGATTCTCTACTAAGTACCATAGAAAATAATTGTCATTTTGCCATATTTGTATTATTTTGCAAGATTTTTAAAAAATATATACAGTTCAGCAAGATTTTCCCTGATTTTTGCTTGTTAAATATAAATATTTTAGCTAGATTTTCTTAGCATAGTTCATAGGTTTCTGATCATTTTATAGTTAAAATATTAACTTAAGACTTTAACTTAAACTTCTAAAAACTGTCTCTAAGAGTAACTCCTTTTAAGTCCAGGTTATCTCCTTTTGATAGTTTAAATATTAACCCAAAGACATTAACCAAAACTCATAGCACTTGTAGCACCTATAGAAATCCCGCTTTTGAACAGCCGCCTCTGCCACATCTTAACCCCACAACTGCTGCTGCCAATCACAGCAAACTGCAAAAATGGCAAAAGAAAAACATTTCCGCTGCAAACGCAGCGCTTTCCGCTCCAGTTTTCAATTTTCGCAGCTTCCCCGATACGGCCACCAGATACACAGATACAGATGCAGTAATTATTTTGCAGGCGACGCTTATCACACATAAATCTCAAACCGAATCCCCGAGCACAATCGATACCACAGAGAGGAGGGAAGAGGAAAGATAGAGAGAGAGAAAGAGAGAGAGAGAGATTGTTGCCTGTTTTGTCAGTCAATGGAAGGGGAGGGGGAGTTGGTAGTTGGTAGTTGCAAGTGGCCAGAAGTAGTTGCCTGAATGTCCAACTGTGGCAGTGTCCAGTGTGGCAGGCAACTTCCCCTCGGCCAATGGGCTTCCTTTTCGCAGCTGCTTTTCACTCTGACCGCAAGATGCAGCTGCATTTATTTCAGCAACATGCAACATGCAGCATCCAGCATCCAGCATCCTTTAATGCCACAGCCCAAGCATCTGTTGTGATATTTATAGTTGCAACTGGGAAAACAGGGGAACAGGTGCTATGGCATCAGGTTGTTGTTGAGCAAAAAGGTTGCCTTGATTTAGAAAAATATATAACAAATATTTATAAATACTTGTAAAGCTTAGTATTTGATCTCCCAGTTCTTTAAACTTAAATTAAATCAGTAATTGAGTTTAAATATATATATATATATTATTTCTATATATTTTTAATCTAAATTAAAATTGATTAATTATTCTCGGTGTAAACCAGTTTCCACGATCGCATTATTATCGCTCATTCGCTTCGGTTATTAGATGCAAGCTGCAGCGGATGTGCGGCTTCCTTCACTCTTGAGAGAGAAAAGTCGCTCCAACAACAACTGGCTTTTTGTCATTTGCCAGGGATCCCCCTTCTAGACCCCCCTTTGAAGTGACGCCCCTGGACGATGCTCAAGAGCCCAAGCTCCTTCTTCTAAGCAATTTCGGAGTGGCTCTCATAAATCAATAAAGAAAGGCCCACCTGGTACAAATAACTTTGAAAAATTTATATTGAACACTCGCCGGGAAAACTTTTTCGGTGCACAGTAAGGTAAAGAGGGAAGGGGGGTGGCCTTAGTTTTTCCGGCCAAAAGTTGTGGAGGTGGAGGAGGAAAAGGAAAAGCGGAGAGAAAGAGGAGCATTGGATGGCAGCTGCTACTGTTAAGTCTTGGACACAGGAAAATTGTTCAGAGTGATTTGTATTGTTGGCCACTTGAACCTAGAGGAGATTCGGGGGCAGTTTTCATGTATGACATGCCCTGGATATCGATATCGATATATATATAGATATATACATATATAGAGAGGAGTCAAAGGGGGACAAGGGCCCAGGAAAATGGGGAAAAACCAATTAAAATTGCAGGAAAAAAAGGAATGGAATGAAGCAAGAGAAATGGGAATGAAAGTATGAAGGAATGAAGCCATCAAATATGAGAGAACGATTTTCTAGGGATAATAAATAATAAGAAACTGTTTTATTAGTAAAAAGAAATATTACAAAAATTTATTAATATGTTAGAAAACATAATTAGTTAAAAGAATTAATAATAATATTTAATTTAGGTTGAAATTATATAGATTTTACTTACATATTCATTTAGGATACAGAAAACTAAAAGTTAGGAACTACCTTTGGATTTAAATAGAGGCATTCTTGTATCTTTCTTTTTATATCTTTTGATGTTTTAAGTAATAAAAATCATATAAATAATATTCATTTATAGCAAATAATAATATGTATTATTTAAATGTGAACTTGGAATGCAAAAAAAAGATTATCTCTTAGTCGAGGTATTCTTTCTAATTTTAACTCACTTTTCCTTTTTCTTTTTATATTTTTGTTTGTTTTATATAATAAGGAACATATTTATTATTATTTATTATTTATAATATTTTTTTGTAATGCAAATTCATTTTTAAATAATATATACTATGAAATATATTTTTTTAAATTAATTTTAATTCTTAAATAATATATTTCATGGTATATTTTATTTAAATATGAATTTAGAATACAAAACTAAAAATAAGCCACTGCCTTAGAGAAAAAATATCTCCTATTAAAGGCATTCTTTCTCTCACTAACTCATTCTTTTCTCTTTCATTTTTTATAGATTTGTTTGTTTGTTTTTTTTTTCAGTGTCTGTCTTAAAAACTGAAATCTTAAAACCGATGAAACCGAATCTTTATCGCCCATAAAGACCAAACTCTCTTGTGAGCGTGTCTAAAGTCGGTTTTAATTAGCTTAACAAACGCAGCATTTTCATGATTGCAGAGCTGCTCTTCAAGAGTTTCTCTACAGATTTTGGATTTCGGTATTTGGATTTCATCTCTCTAAATTATATTTTTTTTTCTATACTTTTTTCTGTTGTGAGTAATTTTCTCATTTTGAACCCTTCCGTTTTGATTTTGAACGGAAGCTCGCTAATCTTTTGCCTCCGTTTGCATCTGTTTCTTGGGGTTATTTTGTATCTTTTTCTTTTCGAGGGATTTCTCCAGTTGTATTATTTCATTTTCTGTTATAATTTCGTTTAATTTGTGCCTGCGTGTGAGTGAGGCGCCAATTTCCGTATAAAAGCAATAAAAACAAATAATAGCGACGAAACATACAAGAAAACGAAATTAGACAGACGGAAGCGGACCACAAACAAAAAAATAGGTAGAAGTAGAAAACCCTAAACCTAAACCTAAACCCAAACCCCACAGAATATACAGAAATAGTAAAATACTTGCTAGAGGTACAAAATAAAAAAATGCGTGAGAAAATTCCAAGGCAGCCGGAGCACCTGCACAGTCCAACTGGGCAAAGGCCTGGGGAAAATGCCAGGAAAAGCGGAAAAAGGGAGAGTTGTGTAGTTTAGTACTTGGAGTGGATTTGATTGGTTCAGATTGTGCCTCCTATATATGTTAGCTGCAAATTTATTAAGCCAAAAAATCCACAATGAGAATCTCACAGAGAAACTATAGTGATTGGGAAGTGAGTGAAGTATAGAAGAACTATGGGAACTTAGGTATAGGGATAGAAATTTCATTGAAATTGAATTAAAAGAATAAATAAATAAATATATATACATACATACATATATGTATAGTTCCGACTTATATACTGGTAAAATTATATAGGAGAATTATTCCATAGTTTCATTAAAATGACTTGCTGTTTGTTCCAAAACAAATCTCGCTCATATGTACTCATGATTCCCAACTGGTTCTAACCTCCCCGGAACGAAGTGACTTCTGCTGGGCAGGTCTCAGATATGTGTTGTGTTACAAAAGTTGCAAGTCATTGTTTATTAGTGTTCAATGTTAGGAACTGATCATAGATACTTACTGTTCAGAGTTACTTACTTATTATAGATACATACGGTTCCGAGTTAATTAGTGCTCCTACTTAATTACTGATCATAGTTAATTACTGATCATAGTTAATTACTGATCAGAGTTAATTACTGATCATAGTTACTTAATGTTCATTGACTCTTTCTGGTTATATTTTTTGACTGGTCATAGTTACTTACTGTCCATAGATACTTTCTGTTCATAGTTAATTACTGCTCATAGATTCTTACTGATCATAGTGAATTACTGGTCTTTTCATTACAATGTGCTCTAAAGCATCGATCCATTTTCAGTGTGACCAAAGTCCCTTTTCCTACTTAATCCTTTATTGCATTATTTTCAATTTCACATTAACTTTAAACAATGGAGTGAAATGCTTATTACTAAATCAAATAAATTCTTTTAGAAAACCCCTCCAGAAAATACTATGTATATTTTTTAACAAATATTTTTCCATACCACTTTTATGTCTTAAACTCCAACTTAAGCCTTTATTTTTTTTTATAATTTTCTTTGGGTGTTTTTCGGCTACAGTTCCACTCCTTTTGCTTTGACTAATTTGAATGTAATTCGTTTTGGGGGCTCACGTACAAAGCGCAAAGCTGTCTGCACTTGGAAAACATGAATTAAACCAAATAAAAATAAAATAAAAGAAACATTTGGTGTACAACACAAAAAAAAGAAGGAAAAACACGCGCGCCAACAGAAAAAACACAGAAAAGACGGCGAACAATAAACGAACAATAATAAGTAATAAGACCCTGAGGCAATTGTTGCTTGAAAGATTTTGTACAACAAAATGCGCAAAATGCGATAAAAAAAATAAACAAAAAAAAACATAAGCAACAAAAAAATACGCAACAAAAGCCCTGGCAAAGCGCATAAAAGCACAGCCAGTAAATAAATAGATACATATGTGAACATAAAGAAAAGACACTTTTGTGGCTCATTTTTGAGTATATATACATTTTTATTTTTTGGCGCCTTTTATTTCAAGGCTGATTGGGGTTTGTTTTTTTTTTTTAAGTCGAAGCCGGTCACTTGATTGTTGCAACGAGTTCAGGGATTTGTTCCGGTATCTAAAGTCTTTCAATATATATTTAAGATTGAATAAAATATAAAGAATACTTGTTAGAAATAAATTAGATAGCTTCTACCTCATTTATAGTATTTTTTTATAAAATTTTAATTTATAAAATAATGAAATTTAATGTAAATTCCAGACACCATGTACACAATGCGAGGGGAAGTGTTTTCAATGCCTTACCTCCTGCTTTTGGCCACACTCTTTGGCCTGGCCAGGACCTCGCCTTACACTAGCTATCAAAATCAACGTTTTGCCATGGAGCCACAGGATCAAACCGCAGTGGTTGGTGCCAGGGTCACATTACCCTGTCGTGTGATTAACAAACAGGGAACTTTACAATGGACCAAAGATGACTTTGGATTGGGCACATCCCGTGATTTGAGTGGTTTTGAACGTTATGCCATGGTGGGCAGTGATGAGGAAGGTGACTACTCACTGGACATATATCCGGTGATGTTGGATGACGATGCCAGGTATCAGTGTCAAGTGAGTCCTGGTCCCGAGGGTCAACCGGCTATAAGATCCACATTTGCTGGTTTGACAGTCCTGGTGCCACCGGAGTCACCAAAGATAACCCAGGGAGATGTGATTTATGCCACCGAAGATCGTAAAGTGGAAATTGAATGCATTTCCGTGGGAGGAAAACCAGCTGCTGAGGTGAGTAGGAGAGTTTGAGGAGTTTTTGGAAGAGTTTTCTATTAAGAGTTGACTCTTAAAACCTCTTAAATGTTGTTACCAACCAATTGGCTAACCAGTTTTAACCTCTCTGTACCTTTACAGATTACCTGGATCGATGGTTTGGGCAATGTGCTAACGGATAACATTGAGTATTCGGTAATACCGCTGCCAGATCTGCGGCGTTATACGGCAAAATCTGTACTCCGATTGACCCCCAAAAAGGAGCACCACAACACGAATTTTACGTGCCAGGCGCAGAATACGGCGGACCGCACCTATCGTTCGGCCAGGATACGTGTTGAGGTGAGTTGGACACCTGCCCATCCTTTCCATTTCCATCCCCATCCCCATCCCCCAGGACCAATAGTAGCTCCTTTGACAGCTCATTCCATACACTGTGGAAAAACTATGTGGGGTTCAAGGATATGATATATATACTGAGAGTCTCGAATAGGGTTTCTCTCAGTGCACAGAGACTGAGGTTTACCTTATCTATAGGTAGGAAGCCTGCCTGCTATCAATTTTACGTGATGCAAGGACGATGCGGAAGCCCATTCAAAAAACCAAAAGGGGGGAATCCCCTGCTAGAGAGAGAGAGAGAGAGAGAGAGAGAGAGAGAAGAGAAGGATAGTATTTTTTGAATGGGCTTTTGTGTATGGACATGGCACCACACTGACGGGCTAATTCATGTCCCGACATAAAGGCTGCATCGTCCTACCCATTCGGGGTGTGAAATCGAGGAGGAGGCAGCTCCTCCCAAACAATGACCTGACCTCAGCCCACTTGTCATTCGGCTTCACTTCGGTCAATGGAGAGATGGACAGGGTATGAACGTGTCCTGGTCGCTGACAAATCCCTGACGAAGATGTCAAAACCAAGAAGGTGACGACGAGTCCTTGGAGTCGAGTGAGGGGAAAGTCCCAGGGTCCTTGTATACTATATACCTTAGTTAAATTGGTTACTTTAAAGGACTTCTTTCATGATTTCTTTCTTTGCAGGTTAAATACGCGCCCAAGGTGAAGGTGAATGTGATGGGAACACTACCAAATGGTGCAAATACCGCTGGCAATGGTCTGGTCGGGGGTTCCCCAACATCCCCAAGTGGATCTCGGATTGTGGAGCATTCACAGGTGCGTTTGGAGTGCCGAGCCGATGCGAATCCCAGCGATGTCCGGTACCGGTGGTTCATCAACGATGAACCAATCATTGGCGGCCAGAAGACAGAGATGGTAAGTGGCGCTTTTTTTTCCCAAGTCCTCGTGGAACTGGTTGGCATTCCACTTGCCGCATAATTAGAGCAACTATTGCTTGGAAAATGCTCTTGTATAATGCCTGGCAATTATTGAAAAACCAGTTGTTGGCTTTGCCACCGGAAAGGCCTAACGTTCCCACAATTAAATGCAGCTCTACAGCTAGCTATCTTTGTTTTTTTACTTAAAAAAAATATGTATTTTATTTTATGTATTTATTTTTCCCCTTTTTTCTGTAATTTAAGGTAATACGTAATGTAACGCGCAAGTTTCATGATGCAATTGTCAAGTGTGAAGTACAGAATTCCGTGGGCAAGAGTGAGGATAGTGAGACTTTGGACATAAGCTGTAAGTAGAGTCACTACCTTCTGATTCTTAGATTAGACTTGTAAAATATATATAATATAATATATTAATTGAAATTTCCATCACTTTCTCCCATTAATAGATGCTCCCAGCTTCCGGCAACGTCCTCAGTCCTTGGAGGCAGACATTGGCAGTGTGGTTTCCCTTAGCTGTGAGGTGGATAGTAATCCTCAACCGGAGATTGTATGGATTCAGCATCCCAGTGATCGAGTTGTGGGCACCAGCACTAATCTTACCTTTAGTGTTAGCAATGAGACCGCCGGCAGGTATTATTGTAAGGCTAATGTTCCCGGTTATGCGGAAATATCGGCGGATGCATATGTTTACCTGAAGGGATCTCCGGCGATTAGTTCACAGAGATCGCAATATGGTTTGGTAGGTGACACAGCAAGGATTGAGTGCTTTGCCAGTAGTGTGCCACGTGCCCGGCATGTTTCCTGGACATTTAATGGTCAGGAAATAAGCTCAGAATCAGGACATGATTACTCTATCCTTGTGGATGCTGTGCCAGGAGGTGTGAAGAGCACTCTGATCATAAGGGATAGTCAGGCGTATCATTATGGAAAGTACAACTGTACGGTGGTCAATGATTATGGCAATGATGTGGCAGAGATTCAACTGCAGGCAAAGAGTGAGTATATCCTTAATCTCAGAGTTATAGAATCTATATCCCTTTCTGAATTTTAAATCAATATAACTATATAACTCTTCGTTTCTCTCTTGCTTTTGTTTTATTTTTCCAGAGAGTGTTTCCCTTCTGATGACCATCGTAGGCGGCATTTCAGTGGTGGCTTTCCTGCTCGTCCTTACCATCCTCATTGTGGTCTACATCAAATGCCGAAGGAGTACCAAGTTACCCCAGGCGGATGTCATTAGCGAACATCAAATCACCAAAAATGGTGGAGTAAGCTGCAAATTGGAGCCCGGTGATCGCACTTCCAATTACAGTGACCTCAAGGTGGATATATCCGGTGGATATGTACCCTATGGCGACTATAGTACCCATTATAGTCCACCACCTCAGTATTTGACCACTTGCTCCACCAAATCCAATGGCAGCTCCACAATCCTACAGAATAACCATCAGAATCAATTGCAATTGCAACAGCAACAGCAGAGTAGCCATCAGCAGAGTCAACATCAGCATCATCATCAGACTTCCAATACGCAAACCTTGCCCATGACTTTCCTTACCAATAGCAGTGGTGGCAGTCTAACCGGTAGCATTATTGGTTCCCGGGAAATTCGGCAGGATAATGGTCTGCCAAGTTTGCAATCCACCACAGCTTCGGTGGTGAGTTCCTCGCCGAATGGCAGTTGCTCGAATCAGAGCACCACCACAGCCACCACCACACATGTGGTGGTACCTAGCTCCATGGCCTTGAGTGTGGATCCACGGTATAGTGCCATTTATGGTAATCCTTATTTGAGGTCCTCGAACTCTTCGCTACTGCCGCCGCCCACTGCTGTCTAAGGAGTAAGGGGAGTAGGAAGTCCTCCCCCTTTAACTGGCTACTCTAAGACTGATCTCAAAGGACTCGAGCCAGGATCTAGAAGGGGGGAGGAGGGATATAGTGACGGCATTATCTTTCAGCTACCAAAAAATCGAATTCAAATCGCTTAGGCTTGTAAGGACATCTAAGGACTAATGGCTCACACATGTAGCCATAGCAACGATTTCAATTTCAAAATGAAATATATATTCATCTTAGAGCAGGGTTATCCTTGGGCATCCCTGACTTAGTCTCTAGCTTTACCAGGATATGTTTTTTTTTTCTTAGTATTAATTTCTTAAGTTATATAGGGTAACTTAGAGCGTAGTGTGCGATCTAGAGAGAGACTAAGCTTCAAAGAATGAGAGTTAAGCATTTACAAGAAATATAAATATATATAGAGATATAGGGCTGCTCGTAAGTAAATGCCTTAAAGCAGTAGGGATTCACTGGTGATTTAAACTCCAGTAAGGAAGTTAGTTAGGAGTTTTTCAAGGCGGCTTTTTGGGGGGGAATTCCCGTAAATCCTGAAAATATCAGAGAACAGTTTTGAACTTGTTCCTTGTATTCAAATTTAATATTAAGTTACGTCTTTTAGGTCTTCTTTTACGTATTTACGTATCTTACATTTTATAATAATTTAGAACTTGTTTTTCTTACAACCTTTTTCCTTGTTTTCCACCCCAATGCCGCCCTTGAAAACTCTAGAAGAAATATATGAAACAAAAAACAATTGAAATCATTTATGTATACATGCTTAATGTTAAAACAAAAAAATGAAAGAAAAATCTATGTATACAGCATGAACAACATTCGTTTGAATGATTATTATTATTATTTTTAAGCAAAAACGAAATGCCAAAGTACCTGATAGTATTAAGTCCTACATCTTCTGCATTAAATAGCATTAATTTTTTTCTCTCTCTCGCCAGGCATTAAGCCGAAGCTATTTTGCATAAGTGTGAGTTTTTTTAAGCTAATTAAATATATATAGAAGCTAGATCTTTGACAGTCGCCTTAACTTATGAAAACAAAACAAAAAAAAACTAAGCCCACACATCTCAAAAGCGCCCATGCCAGCTAAAAAATATATATAGTTATATAATATATATTATATAACAAAAAAAAAATATAGAAAAGAAACTAAAAAAAAGCCGTAGGAGAAATATATTCAATTTGTCAGTTCAATTGTGCTAAGTGTACTTCTAAGTGTATAACGGTCTAATTATCCTAGTTATAGCCCAACTAAAGATACTTATGCATATTTAACATATAGAGCATACATAGGATATAGCTATATATATATATATACATACAACCTTTTTTTCTTAGATCCTAAGCATTATATTTTGATAAACAAACGTTTTTCATATAAGGTATAAGTCCCATCCCAATTCCTTCCTGCAAAAAGTGTGTGTGAAATGCGCCCCTATATCCTTTATCCTAAATCCCATATCCTTTATTTCCCCTTTTTCTTGCTATATTTATTAGCTGTGAACATTTTATTAGTTTCAGCAATTAAGCTCGAGACGAACAAATGTTTTCTGTATACAAAATGCAAATGATTAAAACAAATAAGCAGAGAAAACATACACACACACACCACCCCACAAAGTTAAACACAACAGAAAAACTGAATAAAAATAAAATAAAAATAAATATTAAAAAAAAATACAAAATAACAAAAAACATATATTGAAAGAAGCGTAGAGAAGAGTGAGCGAATTCATTGCGCGTTTTCGGACATCAAAAGACGAAAGACAAATAAGGGGAACGAAACATTTTTAATTTGGCCAGGTCGTCGTTTGGGTTCCCGGATTTTTCCAGTTTTCCCCACTTTCCCACTTTCCCGGTTTCCCGGTTTCCCGGCCAACTGTCAGCTAACTGCAAAAAGCCAAAAATCAAACAAACAAAAGTGAAATGAAAATGTTCCAGCAGTTGGTTTGGTTCGGTCCACCACCGCTAGTCATGTGTGTGTTAATTTATGGCCAGATGGAGTTGGGAGTTCTCCAAGTCAAGCTGAAAGCACTGACAAAAAAATATATAACTTACAATGAAAAAAATATTAATACTATTGGTTATAAAATGATCACAACTTTATCACAAAACAAGCTTAATTCTCATCTTATTTTAGGTTTCTTATTCTTTATTCAAGTATTTTTATGTTTTGAATAAAATCGGATTTATTTTATTTCTGGATTTTTAGTTTTATAATTATTTTTATTACGTATGATTTATGTGTTAGAATTATAATTTTATTATCAGTGTAGATATAACATGCATCTAAGATTTATTACTTAGCTATAAGGTAAGTAAGCGTAAGTATTAAAAGTCCCTTAAAGTTTCTTTGCAAAAAGGTATTTTTGCGTAAGAAATTTACCAAAAAAGGACTTGAGAATTTTAGGAAATAATGTTAGTAATTGTTAGCAATTATTTAAATTAAATACTATTTGATGTTTTCTATTCCCATGAAATTATATAATCTTTATATAAATCCTTCAAAACCCTATGCAACTCTAGACCACGCAGGATTTGTTTTTAAAAATAATAGAAAGCTAACTTTGGGAAACCAAAGTTTGTATACCCTTCCATCATAAAAAAAAACATCATAACTTGGTCAAAAATGCACTAAATTCAATTCGGAAAGCTGTCCTAAGCTAGATTTTATTAGATTAACAAATCTTTATACTGAGTTAGAAACTAAAAAAATTTATTTTTTTATGCATTTTAAGGAGGGATCACCTTAAAAATTTGTCAAAATTTAAAAAAAATAAATTCTTGCCAGACATGTCTAGATCGACTCGGCTTTCAATGCTGATCAAGAATATATATGATTTATGGGGTCGGAAATGACTCCTTCACCTATTTTTAAGCTTCTGACTGAAACTAAAATATAATTATAAGGGTTTAGTAATAATATGCATCTTATTTTAAGTGCTTAAAAGGGATAAATTAATTTCTTATACCTACAAATTTCACAGAATTTACAATATAATGGAGGGTATATTTAATATATATGAAATATATTAATAGCATGGCGTTATACATCTTGTTTTAAGTGCTTAAAAGTGATATATCTATTTTTTTAATTCATAAATTTCTCCAAATTATTTTCTCTCACTGCACTTGAGCTAAGCTGCAGAGTTGACAGTGCAAACAAACGGCTCGCTAAGCTCGACTAAAAATGCTTAATGAGAGTGCGTATACCCAGAGTCACCATTCATGGAAGTACCACCCCCTCTCTCTCTCTCTCTCTCTCCTTCCCCCCGCTATTGCGATGCCCCCTCCCCCTCCTCCTCCTCCTCCCCCTCCACATGCCCTGAGGCAAGTGTTGGCCGCAAGAAATTCTGCGGCTGTGGGCAACAAAGTCGCGCACGACGCCCATTAAACTAAATTAGTTGCCCTTTGTCACCGAACGACCCTCGCTGTCACACGTGTCCCTCATGGGGTAGCTCCATGCTTCTAGGTGTAGCGGGGGTGGGTGGGTGTATTTATTTGAGTGGGTGGATTGAAACATACACACACGTGTGTGTGTGTGTGTGTGCACTTGGCCAGAGGAAAAAAGTTGCAATTGCGGTCGACGGTGTGTTAATTAGCACTCTTTTTTTATGTTCATTAAAAACGATGAAAGTAAAGGCCAGAAAACTTCATTTGAAACTATGATAATTACTACAAAAGAATTAGTAAGTAAATAATTATTACAATATTTATTTGCCAAAAAAAAAGTTTCCAATACTTGAGAACAAATTATTATTATTTTCGTTATAAAGGAATTGTATATTTTAAATAAAACAAAAAGGAAAACTAACTTCCTTGTATATTTTATAAATTTTAGGATAGAATAGGAAATATTTCGTAATTGAGCTTAAAATATTCGCAAAATAATCGATATTTATCGATATTTTTATATAACAATTTTTTATCAAAGCAAATTTAATAATACTCATAACTAAGCCAAAAATGCATTAATTTTAATTCGGAAAGCAGTCTAATGCTAGTTTTTATAAGGTCAGTAAATCTGCAAACTTAATTTGAAATGTAAAAAAAATATTTTTTTTTGCCAATTTTTTACAATTTTAACGATGCAACCCCTTAAAAAAATTGAAAAATTAAAAAGAAATTAATTTTTGTCGGACATAGCTAGATTGACTCAGCTTTTAATGCTGATCAATAATATATATAGTTTATAGGGTTGGAAATGATTTCTTCACTAAGTTACAAGCTTCTGACTAAAATTATATTTATAAATTATAATAAGGGCATAAATATATTTTCTCACAATTTCTTAGACCTTCTCTTTAATCAACAAACTTCTTTATTATTCCTTTTCAATATCTTAAAAAATTTATCAAAATTAAACTAGCACAGAAGAATCAGGTTTCAGCTTCCCAACAATTAATGAATTCTTAGCTTTAGTCAAGACTAACATCCTGAGGAATGTCATATCCTTGACTTCCTTTCTTATTTTCTTGTTTTATATATAAATATTTTCTAATTAGAATATTTTTAAATTCCGTAGAATCCACTTAATATATAGTTGTGACTCCAAAAAGAAATCTCCTTCAGAGACCAATGATAACTGCCGACAACTGGCCAAGCTTTGTGGCACCTTTTGTTTCGCATATGATGTGTCCTGGAAATGTCCTGGACGGTGGGGGAATCCACTTTTGCCAAAGGAATTCACATTTCCATTGTCCGTGAAGTCGTGCGAAGTTTTTCCCTTGCGCGTTAATCACCAGGCTATGTGATCCAACATCCTTTCGAGATCCCAGGACTCCTTTTTGTGGGCTCCACGTCGGAGTCCCCTCTTGGCTTTATCCTTTATTTAAGGGGAAGGAAGATGGCACAAAAAACGGACACGAGGCGCACGAAGAGTTACGATTTCATTAACATGAGATATGGCAAGTGCCAAAGCGCTGGTCGCTTTCGGGGGTGCTGGGTTTTCCGGGTTGTCCATGAGTTTTCGGTGTTTTCCGGGGGAAGGAGGGTAGCTCTTGGATTCGGATTCTCGGTGTGTTGTTCGGCTTTTTTAGGGGTCGTTCCGGGGGTCGTGTTGGGCTGGTTTATGGCTCAAGTGTTGGCTTGTCGTCGCCGCTTGTGTCGCAGTGCGTTGTTAATTGCTACAAGGAGCGACAGAGAAAGGTGGACTTGAAGCACTGAGAGAAAATTATTGCCATAACTTAGAGAAAAGTGTTCTAAAATTAATGTGGGAAAATCATAAATTGGCTTGAACAGAGTTCAATTTTAATTCTTTTTTTTTAATTTATTTTATATTTATTAGTGATTAGAAATTATTTAGTATTTGACAAACTTTAATATGCTATTAAGTACCTAAATATATATTTTGCATTAATAAAGTTAGGCTGAGAATTATAGGAACATGTTAATTTATCAGTACATAAATAAAAAGAAATAATAAAATCAGTAATAAAAAAATATTCATAATAATAAAAATAATAACAATATACAAATTTACAGAATTTAATATTAAAAATACTAAATTTAAAAAAAAAATACAATTTATACTTAGAGATACCTAAACCAGTAACAATTTTTAGTATAATGAACAAGAGCTGAAGCTTAATAATTAAACATATAAATATACACAGAATTCACTATTAAAATTATAAATACAGGTTGGAGATAAAAATACCTGAAGCAGTATATATAATATAAATAATTAATATATTTATATAAAAATATTAAGATACTTATAATAAAGATTCCCTGAACCAGCAGTTGAGAATTAAAAGTCTAGTAACAAATGAATTAACCTTCAAAAATATAAATACATAAAATAATAAACCTTAAAAAAGTTTTCGTAAATTATAAACATATATAATAATTTAAATACTCGTGTTCTAACCTCTTCTGCTTTTCTCTCAATGTACAAGCCGAGGGTCGCTTCATATGATTAGCAAATGTTTTGTTTTTCACTATGCACTAAAAACCAGTGGGTTCGGGAAATGGGAAATGGGAAGCGAGGAAATGTGGGTGGGCGGGGAAAAAGCGCACCAGCCAGCAGCTGGTGGGGGAGGGTCTTTGAGGGTGGACCAGCCCTATAAACCCCAAAAATGCCTGGCAAGTTCTATGTGGAAAGTTCGGAGGGGGTTGTGAGGTTCGGGAGGTTGTGAGTTTGGGAGGTTGCCTAATGCCCGGGTCTCCATTGTAATTGCTGGCCAATGTGTGCCAGCTTGTTTGCTTTTGTGTGCGTGGCGAGTTGAATTTCTTGAATTAATAAAATGTCTTCATTATTTAAATTGCGCGCACGACCGCAGAGAGTCGGAAAAGCCACCCCATTTTCACTCACCGCTTTTCCCCGTTCCACACAAAACATATGTGTTTCGGTTGACATGCATATATCTCTCTCCTCGTGTGTGTGTGGTGTGTGCGACTGAGTTAATTAGCAGCTGGGGAATTGTGAAATATATTAATATTGTACATTTCGGTGGGTCCTGCACCCCCTCTCCACCTCCTTTGACCACAACAAGCCGTGTCACGCATTCCATTTCCCACTTCGATGCTCCTTTTGCGGTCCATTGAAAATGGCTGAAAGCGGGGACAGGATAAGGGGGTTAGAGGAGAGGATAGTGGCCAATTGGAAAGGGAAAGTCTTTCTAGCCAATTTGCTATGAAATAGAAAATATGCAAAAGTTGCGTGGATATAAAACTCAAGGGTATTTTGTCATTATTTTTAGTAGGTATATTAAAAGAATGAAAGATTATAAACTATAAAGTAACAGATTTATATTTTTTCTTACTTAATTATACAAATAGATTTTTATATTTATTTGAGAATTATTAATTTATAAAAATGTTCGATAATCTTATTCCAACTCTTGGTGTTTTTGTATCTAAAAGATACTTATTTTTAAGAATGGATTTTTTGTATCTTATCTTTCACTTATTTTTGGGTGTAGATTTTTAGATTTATTTGAGAATTTAGAATTGTAAAAAGTTCTTGGTAATCTTGAGGCATACTTTTGGTATTTTGTATCTGAAAGATATTTGTTTATAAGAATAGTTTGTGAGATTTATTTGAGAATTTTGAATTTAAAAAGTTCTTAATAATCTTATGGCATATTTTTGGTGTTTTGTATCTGAAAAATACGTATTTTGATGAATAAATATTAAGTTTAATTTGAGAATTTAGAATTTAAAAAAGTTCTTGATAATCTTAAGGCATACTTTTGGTATTTTGTATCTTTGAGATACTTTTATTTGCGGCATACTTTTAGGACGTCTGACATAACATCTCAAGATCTTATTCATTTCCAAATAATACTTTTTATTTTGTAGTATCTCTCTCTGTTTATAATTATAATTTATATATAATCGTTTACAGCACTTATCGAAAATTCCCCTTAAGTTATCAAAGCGATAACTATCGATAGATCCCAAAGCTCTCTTCGCTTAACTCACTCGATCGCCTGTAGATGGCGCTCAGCATGATCGCTGATAACAGCTACAAAAGGCGATAAGTATGCCGATTAGCGTGAATAATTAACAGGTGTTGGCTTTGAGACTATATATATTTCCACACACCACAAATCAGTGATGATTATTAAGTATAATTAACAGCTGTTTGCTCCAAGATTATAAATAGAAACAGATCGACAGACATCCACTTAGGGTTGCACGATATACATTTATTAATTAGAAACAACAAGAAAAAAAAATCCACTGAGCTTATTAACTTGACAACAAGTAAATGCAATTTTCTGGCTCCAACTGGACAACGGTACGACATCTACTTAAGTCCACCGGTGACCTCAATGGCAGCTCCATTCACATAGGATGACTTTGGGGAGGCCAGGAAGGCAATCACTTCGGCTATTTCCTCCGGCTGACCCAGTCTTCCCAGTGGGCAACGTTGAACCACCTGTTGCTTGATGGCCTCCGGTACCACGGCCACCATGGGTGTGTCTATATAACCGGGAAGGATGCAGTTCACACGAATCCCAAATTTACCAAATTCCTTGGAGGCCACCTCGGTGAAGGAGATGACACCGGCCTTGGTGGCCGCATAGTTAGCCTGTCCCATGTTGTTCATTTTGGCCACAATGCTGGATAGATTCACAATGCTGCCGCCGCTCAACTTGCCCTCGATCATGGCCTTGGCAAAGGCTTGGGTAACCAAGAAGGTACCCTTTAGATTCACCGAATACACATCATCGTAGTCCTTTTCGGGCATCTTTAGGAGGTAACCATCACGGGTGATTCCAGCAGAATTAACCACAATGCTGGGTGCCACCTGAAAGGCTTTCAATGCCTCGGTCACAGCACTTTGGACACTCTTCGATGAGGAAACATCCACTTCCAGGGCGGCAGAGCGATCGGAGCCCAATTCCTGGGCAGTTTGCTGAGCTGCCTGAAGGTTGCGATCTGCGGCAATCACTTTGGCACCATCGCGAGCCAAGAGACGGCAGGTGGCACGTCCAATGCCAGAGCCAGCACCTGCCACAGAGGAAGGGGAATAAGTATTTGTATAAATCAGTAACTGTGTAACATCACCCACCTGTCACCAAGGCCACTTTTCCTGCCAGTAATCCCGTTGACATTATGTTTTGCTATTCCAAGTTTTCCTGCTGCTGCTCAAGTGAGGTTGTGCTGGTTGTGTGTGGTCTCATGGAAGTTATCGCTCCGGAAAACAGCTGTTTTGGGGAAAAAGCTTCCAGATAAGAGATGGAACAAAGGTCTATAATTCGATCGGTATAGATGGAGATGGTAGTGGCAGCCCAAAAGTATGCGGAATAACATAAATAAACATATAATTTTCTTTTGATTTACTCAACTCTTTATTATTTTCATGGGTTTTACTTCACTCTAGAGGTATTAGATAGTATTCCTGTAGCTCGACATCATCCAAACTTCTGGCTAATCCAAATTGACGCAGTATTTTACGTAGATATCTCTTGGGTATCTTTACCAATTGCCGGCGAATAATGCGTTGAATTCTGTTCCAGGGACGACTGCTGCCCCTGTGATCATCTGCAGAGTTCTCTAGCTCCGGTTCCTGATCCTGTTCCTCATCCTCAGCTACTTCTTCATCCTTGTCATCCTGGCTTTGGAAATTGGCCAACTGCTGGGCCAGTTTCTTTAGCTGCCCCGGACTTAGTTTATTGAGATCGATTTGCGGTTCAGTGGATCGCAATTGCAGCCCAGAGCCGGGGCAGCTTTTGGCCAAGATTTTCGGTACTGAATGTAACCAAATTGTGGATACGATCAGCAGTATTACCCAGCGTAGACCCTTCATGGTTTTGTCTACTGCCTCCGGCGAAACGCTGGCTTAAATACCCCAAGAAAAAACAAAAAATTATGCCCCATCATTCGTCACGATCTGAACTCGGTTGATCTCTGATGAAGATCTGGAATGTGGGTCAAGTACGCACTTTGCGTACAATTGTTTCCAATAAGGGGTTATATGCCCATTAAAAAATAAAGTTGATAAAAGAACAAAGAAGAATAGAAAAGTAGTATAGAAAATAAATGTATAGGGGATCAATGATCGTGAATATATTTTGCTTTTAAATGAAACTTAATCTATATAAACTGGATTTGTTAAGCAAATAAAAGGGAGTTAAGGAACTTGAAATATGTTTGAAAAGGTTTAAAACCCGATCCTTCATCATGTGATTCGTAATTCTTTTTTAAATATGACCATTAATTTGGTTAAACCTTAACAAACTTTGGAAAAACCTTTGCTAGAGTATCTTTAGTATCTTTGTAAAGTTGAATTAATTTAATGAAATTTATTCATTTTAAATGTGTTTAAAGACCAAAAACGCCAAGAAAAAATAGTTGGAATTCTTCTAGAAAGCCTAGAAAACCCTCTGCTCTCTGCCCACAAAATCATGCAAATTCAAATTGTTATTACTTTTGAAAAGACTTCATTTATTATATGTCTTGCCCCAGGAAGTGTGACAGGATGTATGTTTCAATTTAAGCTACAATAAATTAGGGGAAAAAAAAAAATTATATATGTTGCTGCTGCTGCTGTTGGATTTTCTTCTGGAATTCAACTCTCTGCCATTGTCTTAGACAGCGGTGATGCGACGACGATTCTTGTTGCGATTCTTGCGATTCTTCTTGCCATTGACACGACGACGATTCATGTTGCCCTTGTTATTGATCCTCTTGTTGGGAATCCTTTTGCGGACAACACGGCGCTTGTTCACTGGCCGATTGCCAGTGTTGAGCATCACCTTTTGGCCATTTTTGAAATAACGACGATACCTGGGCGGTATGCGAACGCTAATCACTTGACCGCGACGAGCACCCTTGCGTCGCAGATTAATGTGACTGCTCTGGGTGGCCTTGCTCTGGCCAGTGCCCTGGATTTCCGGTTGGGTGACAACCTCATATTCTTGGGCACCGGCTGCCAATGCGGCCTGCAGGGCCTGTTCGTCCATCAGATCGGCGGGATAGGCCTGAGCCGGTTGCTGTACCTGTTGCTGTTGCTCATCGTCCTCATCCTGATTCAGATCCTGCTCTAATTCCTGGTCCTGCTCCTGGTTTCCTGCCTCCTCATCGCCATAACTCTTGCGTACGGTGAATCTTCCGGCTGTTGTTGTTGGTGTTGTTGGTGACGTTGGTGATGTGGTAATGGTGCCCGTTGCCGAAGGTATCGTACCCGTCGAGGTCACCGTCACGGTGGGGGAAGTGGCCGTTCCTGTAGTAGTGCCCGTTCCCGCTCCCGTAATGATGATCGGAATCACCGGTTGATTGTTGCTGCTAAACAGATTCTTGAATGTAAGGAATTTCTTTAGGAACAATCGGCCGCTCGATGGATCCTTGGTGACCTGAGCTGCAGCTCCAGCTGCAGCTCCAGCTGATGATGCCACTGATCCGGATGCCATCGGCATACCCAATTTGGCATCCTGCTCCTGGCCAACATTATCGACATTACGGGAACGTGGCTGTTTCTTCTCCGGTGCGGCATGGATTGTTGCCAGGCAACAGGATAATAATACAAGAAATACAAACAGCTTCATATTTCTTTCGCTTTTGACTTTTGATTCAACTTGGAAACTACTCGCAGTGGAGAACTTTTCGTGGGGTGGACCAAAATCACGCTGCTTTGGCTACTTTGCTGCTCGCCGATGGCTGGACAATCAGGCTCTGATACATTATCGGGGCAGCGACAGGGCTTTTATAGGCCGACTGATCGACCAAGTGAAATGCAAATGAATGGCAATTGCCAAGTGCCCAGCAAACGGTAATGCTATGTACACAATCGACATTCTTCAATTGATCACCGATCATCGCTGCCAGCTATATTCGCATATCATATTATATTATTCTTCTCCGTCATCGTTGTCCGTCAACCGACCAAAGCCTCGTTATGCCGATCATCGCCAAGCGGAACGCCTTTGGGTCTCTATCTCTGGATTTTGGGTTTTGAGGTTTCATGTATTTGATCTTTGGGCCTTCTAGTTTCTGGTCGCAGTTTCTTATTTTTTTTGTATTTTCTTTCTATTGCTGCTTTCTAAGTGTGCTGATGAGGGGACCTACCCTGGCTAACAAACGCAAAAGATAGAGAGAAAAAAAAAGTGAAAACCTGGCTCTAAAATTGATTTCTAATTGCAAACCAAGTGTCGGGGTCAAAGGCGAGTTGCCTGTAAAAGTGGCTTCAACTTGTTCTTGGATTTCTTCTCAGGAAATAATTTATATACATATATAAATTGTAGAAATTGAAACTAAAACCAAATAGAAAAATTGGAAATTTTATGTACAAATAATAAAAGATAAAAACCAAAAGCAATATTCAACAAGAATAAAAATAACATTTAATCAAAATTCAGAGGAAAGAAAGACTAATTTTGATCTTTTTATTCGGAACTTTAATAGAAAATGGATATAGTATACTTTATGGGGTCGCTTTCCTGCCTCAATATTTCAAAAATCAAAGTTGTTTATTTTTAAATTAAATTAAAGTAGAAATAATGGAAGCTATATTCGGGAAACCAATTTGCAATTTGATCATTTTTGATCAAATGAAAATTAAAACTTTAAGGAGTTATATTAAACATTTTCGCATATTATAAAAATTTGGTTTTAAAAGATTTTCAATAACATAAAATAACTTTATCTCATAGTTGAAAAACCCTTAAGATTATAAAAATATATTTATAAAATTAGAAAAAAAAGTAATATGATTTATTTAAATATATTTTATTTACAATTTTTTATTACAGTTTTAAGTTTTTTCTAAATTTACAGAACGTTTCAATGACAGCTATATGATATAATATATATTATTTATACATATATAAAATTGAAACGGAGATTCTACAGTTTTGTCTCCAATTAAAATGAAAAAATGTTGTTATAATTTATTTTCTAAAAATTTTCCGATTCTACCCATTGGCAGCTATATACATACATATATATGTATTTATATATATATAGTCCACCGATCAGCCATGCTCCGACTTATATACAAGTAAAATTATATGGCAGAATAACTCCATAGTTTCATTCAAATAGCTTGCTCTCAAATCTCGCACATCTGTGCATATGATTCCCAACTTGTTCTAACATCCCCGGAACGAAGTGACTGCTGCCGGCCACGTCTCAGATATGTGTTGTGTTACAAAAGTTGCAAGTCATTCTTTTTTGGTGTTCAAAGTTAGTAACTGATCATACATACTTACTAATACAAAATACTTATTGTTCAGAGTTACTCACTCTTCATATTTATTAACTGATCATAGTTACTTAATATTCATAGATACCTTCTGATCATAGTTAATTACTGGTCATAGATACTTACTGTTCAGAGTTACTTACTGCTCATAGATATTTACTGATCATAGTTACTTACTTGTCATAGTTATTAAATGATCATAGTTATTTACTGATCATAGTTACTTCATGTTCATTGATTCTTACTGATCATATTACTATTACTGATCACAGTTACTAATTGTTCATTGACACTTTCTCGTCATAGATACTTACTGATCATAGTTACTTATTGGTTATAGATACTTACTAGTCATAGATACTTGCTTTTCAGAGTTACTTACAGATCATAGTTACTTTCTGATCCTCTATATTTAACAACTCTGACAGTTTTATTATATAGCATTCCGATTATCATAAAACTTAAAGCATAATTTTATAATAATAAAAGATAGCTTTAAATCAAATTAGATGAAAATATGTTAAAAACTGTAATAGTCATAGAAGAGACAGAATTGAAGAGAATTCTAGAAAATTTGAGTGAGAAGCTTCGTAAGGTGTTACTTGTCTTGATATTATGTGTTCTTGGTTCTATGGGTTTTGGGAATTAATGGACAAGGGAATGTTGTATGCCTAAAGAAGAGAGAGAATTGATGGGAATTCTAGAGAATTTGAGGGAATGTTGTATGCCTACAAGAGAGAGAATTGAAGGGAATTCTAGAGAATTTGAGGGAATGTTGTATGCCTACAGAAGAGAGAGAATTGAAGGGAATTCTAGAGAATTTGAGTGAGAAGCTTCGTAAGGTGTTACTTGTCTTGATATTATGTGTTCTTGGTGCTATGGGTTTGGGAATTAAAGGACAAGGGAATTTTGTATGCCTACAAGAGAGAGAATTGATGGGAATTCTAGAGAATTTGAGGGAATGTTGTATGCCTACAAGAGAGAGAATTGAAGGGAATCCTAGAGAATTTGAGGGAATGTTGTATGCCTACAAGAGAGAGAATTTAAGGGAATCCTAGAGAATTTAAGTGAGAAGCTTCGTAAGGTGTTACTTGTCTTGATATTATGTGTTCTTGGTGCTATGGGTTTGGGAATTAAAGGACAAGGAAATGTTGGGCAGTTTTTTTTTTGTTTTCGGTTATTCACTTTATTGGATTGTCTTTATTCGAGTACAGATCAAATCAATAGTTCGAGCTGATCCACGGGGTCAGAGGTCATGGGTACTTAATTGCGACGACGACGACGACGCATTGCCAGACGAGTCATGGCATTGTTGCGACGCATGCGACGGCGGGCGTTGCGATGACGACGGCTCTGGCGGGCACGAGTCCTGCGTGAACGGTTGATGAGACGGCGACGCCTCTGCTGGTTGCGACGGCGCAAGCGGCGACGGTTCTGCTGGGCACGCTTGCGATTGCGCCTGGCAGACTCACGTGCGTCATCGAGCTGCTTACGCAGCTGATTGTTCAAGTCCTTTTGGCGGCGAATCTCAAGCTCCTGCTTAAGGTCAGCGGCGCTTAATTCACCGCTGTTGCTGGCCTTACTGGGACGACGGCGTAGTCCCGCTGAATATGAGGCCCGCTTGGCTCCCACCTCCCGATCCAGGCCATTGGTCTCTTCGTCCTCCTCATCGTCCTCCTGGTCATCGTCCTCGTTGTCCTGTACCTGAAGGTACTTTTCCTCTCCCATCTCATTGTCGTACTCGTCATCGTCGTCAACGTCGTTGTTGTTGTTGTCTAAAAATCGAGCAGTTGTTGTTGTTGGTGTCGTTGTTCCTGTCGATGTCGTTGTTGAGGGTGTGGTGGGTGTAGTTGTGGATGTGGTTGTTCCCGTCGGTGGAGCTGGTGCCGTGGTTGTCGGCGGGCAGGCGGGCGGCTGCTTCATTGCCATCAAGGCCTGCAGGCTACGTGCTTCGATCTGTACGGGCTGCCTAAATGGTTGGAGTTTGGTTTTAATGGGTTCGTCGGCGGAATCATCATTCGAGCGAGCCACTAAAATTATTTGATGATTTATGTAAGTCATTGGAAATTAGGATATTCCTGTGGCTATAACCATCAGGAGGAGATAATTTTGTTAAAACTTACCACCCGCTTGGGCAAAAATCGCTGTGCCCAGCACTAGTAAAGCGCCGTAGATGAACTTCATTATGGATTTTCCAGAAAAACTTTTGGGCAAAAACACAAAAACTTGGCTGGATTGCTGCTGCTGCTGCTGTTTTGGAGGAGCTGGTGTGCCTGTGCCTTAGGGAAGGTCGCCGGTGAACTGTGATATTGCCATCGGCCATCAGGGGTTATATACCCGACGCTCCAGTTACGGATGCCACCAACAATCAAAGCAAAAGCGGCACAGAATTCGCCAATCCATAGTTCTCATTATCATTTCTTTTTATTTTTTTCTTTGCAAATTTGCAAATTTGCTAAAAAAGATTTTGCATAAATTTTGGGTGACCGCTCCGCCGATCGTTGAACTAGTTTGACCCACACGACATTTTCTAAACGAAATTCGCAATAGTAATAGACTATGCTAGTCACAATATCTTATGGCCAAAGACTACAACACCATTTAAATTAATTGTCATGGCTCAAATGTTTATTTGTAATTGCAATTGTCGGAAGGATCAAAGGAGTCCAGCTAAGCACAAATATATTTATATCTGGCTTCTTAAACATGTAATTCAATCGTTATTGAAATCATTTTAAGAAGCAAACAAGGTTGATTTAAGCTCTACTTTCATTTCTATATTCATTTGTAATATATATTAAAACAAATTATATTTCAACTAGAAATAAATATATTTGGCTTAAAAGATTCCTAGGTTCAGTCTGTCATCTTAATCATTTATATTTTGAGGGGAATGGAATCCCTTAATTATCTCTTATATAACCTACCTAGAACTAAAATTTTTATATTTATGAAAATTATTATTTTGATTATTTTAACTTGTATAAATATGTAGTGGCTTTTGCTCTTAAACTTAAACTATCACTGTAAACTGAAGGTCTTATCTTAAATAGATAAGAGTTAAGACACAAGAGATTTTAAAATAAAAATTACTTTCTTATAAAAAGACTTAAAACGATATAACAACTTTAGATATTTTAAAATACAAATAGTTTATTGGTCTCCTTTTAATTTAATTCTTTAAGCTGAATAGATCAACTTTTTATGTGTGATTTATCATATTGATTTTGTGTGATTTATCCATTTGATTTAAAGGGAGCTCCCCTTACAAAATTAAATAGTTCAATTGGGAAATGACTCGGTTTGAGAGCTCTTGAATATATATTTATAACAATTTATTCAATTGAATTAAATTTGAACTTTTATTACTCCGAACTTTGCTTGAATTCCTGCAAATAATGATCATCTAAGAAAGTTATTTGCTGAAAGAGAGAAATTATCTAAACAGATGTTTAAGTTTTTATCTTAGAAGTAGAACCTTTTCCAGAACTTGAGTTATATAATAAAACTAGGAGTTGCATTAATTAGAAAATACTCAAGAGATCCTCAAGTTTTTATCTTGTTAGAACTTTAGTTATATGATAAAATTAGGATCTATTTCAGTAATAAGCTCCTGAAAAGATACTCAAGTTGTAAGTAAAACCTTTTCTGGAACATGGTTTACATGTCAATATTGGGAGTTATATTAATAATTAACCACTGAAGTGATCCTTAAGTTCTCTTCTTGTAAGTAAAATCTTTTCAAGAGCTTTGGTTATATGATAAATTGGGAGTTATATTAATTATAAACTACTTAGAAGATCTTCAAGTTCTCATGTTGTAAGGGAAAGCTTTTTATGAACTTGATTTACATATATGTTAAAATTAGGAGCTTTATAAGTAATGAAATACTAAAAAGATCCTCAAGTTCACTTCTTGTAAATAGAATCTTTTCAAGAATTTGGGTTATATGATAAATTGGGAGTTATATTAATAATAAACTACTGAATAGATTCTCAAGTTCTCATAGAATAAGTATAGATATTTGACGAGCCTTCATTAAATGTCAACATTAGGAGCTTTATCAGTAATCCCAAAGGGATTTTAAGCAATAAATAAAGATTGTACTGCCTGAGGTTAGGGACATTAAGGGGGTTCCCCCGTTCATAGAACACCCTGCAAGTGCCGCAGCACTTGCTAATTAAATTTCTAATTAAAAAAAAAAGACACTCTTATAATTATTCAATCAATTGCTCTTTATTCACTGGTCACTTCGGTTGCATGGTGCATGGGAGGGAAGGTGGTATTGGGACCTAAGCCTGGACACGGATGATGCGGTTCCTGTTGGGCGTGCTCTGGCGGAAGCGGTTGACGAGACGCATATTCTGGCGGCGGTTCAGGCGCTGGCGGCGCTTCTGCTGCTGCTGACGGCGACGACGCTGCTGCTGGCGGCGCTTCAGCTGCTGACGACGCTTCTGCTGCTGCTGCTGACGGCGACGGCGCTGGTTCTGCTGGCGGCGACGATAACGCTGCTGCATCCTCTGACGCTGACGGCGGGCGCTCAACTGGCGACGACGACTGGCCTGGGACCTGGCCACCTGATGCTGCTCCCCATGATCCATGTCATCGTCATGCTCCAGCTGGAAATGTTGCTCCTCAACATCCTGATCATCATCATCATCATCGTCCTCCACCTCATTGTTGGCCTGGCGAGAACCTGGAGCTGCGGTAGGACTGGTTGTGGTAGGAGTGGTGGTGCTAGTTGCCGTCGTGGTGGTGGGACCCGTTGGACTGGTCGTGGCGGTTGTTGTTGTGGGAAGGGTCGTGGTCGTGGTGGGAGCTAATGTGGTAGAGGCGGTGTTGCCCTTGAGGCTGTTAAGGATGTCCGTAAGCTGGGAGGCACTCAGGCGTCCCTGGGCAGCGGGCTCATCACTCTGGCGACCCAAGAATTTCTGCTGGGGTTTGGCTGCAATTGAGTAAGGTGACAGGGTTTAGCTTGATTTTCTTTTTCTTGTTCTGGTTTTATTTTTTTTGGTGAGGCTACACCTACCGCTGGCAAAGGCCGCCAGGCACATAACAATCAATAGTCCCTTCATCAGATGCATCTTTATGTTGGACTTATCCTGAACTCTAAGGGCTGTGTGTGTCTATGAGTTGTAATCTCTTGGATGGCTGGGCTGCCTGTGACTGACTTCTAGGGTCGAGACCCGGCATATTTATATGTAACCACTTACATGGCCCAGGCCCTCAGAGGTTACAACAATCCCTTTGGTGGGACAGAGTCAGAGACACTTTAGGCCTAATGGTGCAAAAGAGATGAAGCGAGATGAAAGGCAAGAAATACATTCTTTTAGGCCTATAAAGAAAGGTAGCCATTTGCTTGTTTCGTTGTAAACGTTTTGCATAATGCCATAAATAATCACCGGCTGACCCGTAACCCCAACGAGCTCCATTCCGATCGATCGCTTCGATCGCTCATCATTTGCATATCTCTTCGCGAATTGCCGACATTTGCATATTCATATTTGGCCATGATTCTCAGTTAGAATCTGTGTGTCTCTTCTTTGGGCTTCTTTCAAAGGGCGAAAGTGGAGGTGCGATGTCAATGAACCAATGAGGCGGTGACCCCTTGGTTAAGAATTTTGCGAGAAGAGAGCCACGGGCGTTGCCAGGGAGATGAGAGAGATCTCTTAGTGGGGAAAAACTTAATCACAACCTTATATTATTCTTACAGATTTACTTTATAGCTATATTCCCTATAGGGAAAGTCTGAAATTCAAAGGGAGAAATGCCCAAGGATCAACTTGAAGTCCTTAGATGTAGATGAATTTTACTTAAAGAAAGCTTCTTGGGAGCAGAGTGTTCTCTTAGTGCAAAAATATTATTCTTACAATTCATTTTTATTACTATTTCCCCAATAAGTGAAGCCTGTAAATGAATAAGAGCATGTCTAGGATCAGATTCAGTGATCAGTTAATGTCTTGTCTAGATATTTCCTGCTGAACTTTGGGCTAACATTGTTTTTGGATAGTAGAAACTCTTGACTTTTGGTAGACATATCCAATACCCTTTTCTTAACCCTATAAACACTTTCAATAAACACAAAATCCCTTTGATATAATAGTACTTTTTGAAACAAGGACTTTCTCTATATGCTGAGGTCCTTTCATGATCTTTAGCCTTTATCCATCATTCCATGAACTCTCTTGACTAAACCTTTTCTCCCTCCAAATATCCTGCAGCAAGGATCAATAATTATAGAAAGAAAAAAAAAAAAAAAACCATTTCAAATGCAAAGTTCAATTTATTTCGGTGATCAAGTCTCGTCTACGGGTGCATCATCAGCATCTCAGATCTAGACACGACGTCCACGACGACGGCGCAGTATACGCATGAAACGGCGACGCTGCTGCTGCTGCTGCCGACGACGACGCTGCTGCTCGCGACGACGACGACGGGCGGCATTGCTCTGCCGACGACGCTGACGCTGCGCCTGCGAACGGTTCCGGTTGCGACGCTGACGTTGATTGTTCCGGCGACGGTGCTGCTGCCTCTGCCTACGCAAGCGCTGCTGCTGGCGCCGCTGCTGCTGACGCTGGCGGCGCAATAAGCCGCGAATGCGTTGATTATGCTCCCGCTGCAGCCGCTGAATGCGACGACGATTGCGCTGAGCGGCCTGGAATTGACGCCACTGCATCTCTGTGGGTCGCACCACGGCACCACCGGAAGCGGAAGCGGATGCCACATGCTGCTGCTGCTGCTGCTGTGGTTGAGCTGCGGAGGCTAGCATATAATAATCATCGACATCATCCTCATCATCGGCACCACCGTTACCCGCCAGAGCGGCACCATCCTCATCATCGTCATCATCATCGTCGTCGACGTCATCTTCCCCGGCATAGGAACGGGCAAGGTCATCATCTAGATCATCTACATCCTCCACCTCCTCCTCCTCCACCGCGGGGCTAAGGCCGAAGGAGCGCCTAGTGGTGGTGGTTGGGGACGTGGTGGTTGGGGTGGTGGTGCCGGTGGTGGCGGTTGTGGTTGGGGCCGTCGGGGACGAGGTGGTAGTGTCCGTCGTGGGGGTGGTGGCGGTGGCTGCGGCAACGGTTGTTGTGGTGCTGCTAGTCTTCAGTGCCGTCAGCTTATTTGCAATTGCCGTGGTGAACCGGGCCTCGGCCTGCGGATCAGAGTCGCGATGTCCCACACGATAGATGGTGCGACGATTGGCTAAAATCATAATTTTTATATATTAGATTGGGTAATGATTTTTTTTGGGTTAACTATGGCCCAGGACTCACCCAGACTGCCGGAGGGGGCGATGAGGACGCAGAGCGCCAAGGCCAGGCTTAGCTGTAGTAGAAGGCAATTCATTCTGCAGAAAGGAATCTCGAGGAGTTTTCAATAAGAAGAATTCCCAATTCCTGGCTAATTTATCCTTTGGGTTTTGATGGTTTCCTCACTTTGTTTGCCACTGAGCTGGCACTCAAAACTGACTGACAACTGATGGTTTGTACTGGGATTATATAGCCCCTTCCATTCCAGCTGATCGATGGCTGTCAGTCATCCGTATCTCCCCTGGATCCCTTCTACCTAGTCGGTTCTATTAGCAAAAAAAAAAAAAATTAAAAAGAAGTTCGCCCGGGGTCAAAGTGAACCGGGTCGTGGGTCAGAGGCGTACGAATTTTATGCTAATTTCCCTCGCTCACAAATCTCATTTGCCAAAAAAAATAGAAATAGCATTCTTCTTTCGCTCGGTGAGTAGCCGATGATTGATTGACGTCAAGTCATCAAGCAGGCAAAGGAGGAAAAGCACCAAAACAGCAATCTTTTTTGGCCCAAAAAGCAGAGTTCCTCTGTGTGTTAGTTTCCACACTTTTCGCTTGCCAATTAGTCCAAGTTACAAGCTTTACAAACTTCGACTTACAAGCTAAAGCCCAAGAATCTCCAGAACTATTATTAACTGATATTAAAAACTGCAGATTGGCTTTAATTTTGGGCCTTAAGGGGCAGACAAGGTCACTGGACTGGTAGAAGGGTTCTTAGTCCCCAAAAAAAACCAAGCCAAGAGAGAGATTTGGTCTAGGAAGGCATTACAGTTTCTTATTATTCTTTAATTATTCATATTTTCATTATACAAATTGATCACATAGATAAATTGGATATAAATTAGGAACCTTAGTGATTACTTAACTAAGGTTCGTAATTTATATCCTATTTATTTAAAAGAATGTTTTAATAATCAAGTTCTTAATGCACAGTTTGCTGTTAAATATGATATAATTTTAATTCTATTCTTACTTCAGTCCAGATCCTATTCAGTTTTTTTTTTTTAAGTTGTATATTTAAAGTGCTTTAACAAGTTGCCAATTCATTTTATGTTCAAAGTTATAGAAATTTTAAATGAAAGCCATTAACAACAGGCTTCCCTCGTGGTTTCTTTCTTTTAAGTTTATATTTAAATCTAAACTTAAACAGTTTTTAATACTTTTTCTTTACGTTTTTACTACATCTTAATCTAATAAGTAAACTAATAAATTATTTGATTTATAAGTTTATTGAGCGATTGATAGGAATATACACATATTTTTTATACGAAATTTGATTTATTTGTTGGCAGCAACCTTAGAAAGAAAGATTATTGCAAAATCAGAAAGTTTTCGTTTTAAGATTTTGCTTATTTTCACATTAATCAATATTTGTTATAATCTACAGATTTTTCTTTCAATAGATATATGGAAGTGTAAATTAAGTACGTTTATATATAGTATATATAAATTATATTTAATCTATAACCTTATAAAGTTTATAAACTTTATAATTCATCTTACTTTATTGCTTGTAACGGAGTTCTTTGTCCAAAACATGATACACCCGTGAAGACGCCAGTTTGAATTATGTTTAGCTTAATATATTTTGGTTCTTTAAAATATTCTATAAGTTGTGTTTTAAATTTGATTAATTTATTTAAATAGCATTTTTATATAATATTGATTTATTATTTTATTTATTTCCTAACTTGTATAGAAAGAACAAAAGTTCTAGTTCTATATGACCTTCTAAAGTAGTTTAAACCTTTCAACAAATAAAAAGTATTCTAAGGCCTAGAGTATCTAAAAGACAAGTATTTAGTAGTAGAAGTAGCAGTAGTAGTTATGAGTTCAAAAATAATTTAATTTGATTTGTTTTTACAGTTGTCATAGGTACTTCTAGGGAAAAGGATAGAGAACATATATAGATCAGAGTTTTGAAACACTTCTTGGAATATAATACTCTTAGGGAATATGAAAGTTCGATTGGCATTCAAGTTCTTGAAGATCTTCTTGATACTATTGCAATATTTGTCTTACTTTTTTATTTATTTATTTAAATGTGTTATTTCTGAATAGTTCTTTCTAATGCTAAGACAAAAAAAAACTTATAATTAAATGAGTTAGTCTTATGTTCTATGATCAGCAATTGAGGTCTATGGAACTTGCTGAAACATAGATCATCATAGACTATATCTAACCAGATATAATAGAACTTCCCCGTATATTTCCCTTCCAACATCTTTAGATAGTAAAAAACTCAGTTCGAACTTAGTTTTATATCACATTTTATTTATTTTGTTTGCATCGTGTGGTCATGTGGTTCGTGGATGGGATCTTAACTATAATACTATAGAGAGAGGGAGAGTATGGTCAGTGGTCCTGCGCTGGTTCCTAACCCTGGTAGACAACCTGGCCACGGCGCCTCTGGTTGCCACCTCGGCGACGGTTGCCACCGCTGGGACGGATGACACGGACGTTGCGTCGACGGTTGCCGCCACGACGACGTCTCTGGACGGGACGACGACGACGACGACGTGGGTTCGTGCCCCTTCGCCGGATGTTGCGGCGGCCATTGTTCTTGCGACGTCGAACCACAACACGATTGGCGCGTTCCTCCTCGATCTCATCGGAATCGGAATTACCGCTGGCAGAGCGCTCCATCAAGGCCACAACGGCGCCATCAGGAATGGCATCGAGAGCGGCACGGGGCACGAGGAGAGCAGCCTTGCCGGTCTTCTCATCGAGGACGCTCTGACCCTCGATTTCGATGATGCCATCGGGAACCATAATGGCACCGGCCTGATCCCGGGCCACCATCATTTGGGTCTTTTTGGGCAGGAGTTGCTGTTGCTGCTGCTGTTGCTCCTGGTCATCGTCCTGCTCGGCATCATCATCCTCCTCCTCTGCCAGCTCCTGACGCCTGTGGCCAAGACCGCTTCGAGCAAAGTTCAGGCCCAGCTGATGCTCCAACTCCTCCTCATCATCGTGGTCCGCATCATCATCTTCATCATCATCAACATCGTTCTGGCCAACATTGTGGTGTTGATCCTGTTCCAAATCTTCGTCATCCAACTCCTCGACAATCTCAAAACCCTGGACCACAGTGCCAGCATTGGCACGACCCTGGGGTATGGTCAGGAAGATGTAAGGATGCTGTTGCAATCCCTTTTGGACCTGCTGGCGACCCTGCAGTCCCAGAGGACGCACCTCGGCACAGGTTAAGGCCACACAGAGGCTGGCCACCAGTAGACAGACAACACCCAGTTTGGTCATCTTTCAGAGCAAACAACAACAAAAAAATATATACTGAACAGAAATTGCAAATGCCAAAAAAATTATTAACTCCTAATTGTAAGCAAAGTCCGAGCCGAACTGTACGATCCGCAGCCGTGGCATTAGGTTTTTATGCGAAAAAGTTCTAGCCAGAATCTAGAATTTCTTTTTGTTTTTTCAAGACGGGAGAGAGAGATTCCACTCTGGGCCATAATTGCGGTCGATGGCGGCATAATTTCAAGTGGCAACGGACAGAAAAACGAATAAACAAAATTATACATAAATAATACAAAAAATAAAAATAAAAATGTGGAGAAAAGTAGAAATGCGGAATGGAAATTGGGAATGAAAGAGTTCAGTTCAGTGACCTCGCATGTTGTTTTTGGGACAAAAGAACAAATGCTGAATAAATCAACGAACGTTGAATCAAAAGTCGAAAAGTCGAAGATCACCGCAGACTTTTGGCGGTCATGCTAATGACAAAACAATCAGCGACACGCACCTACAAAAATCCCAAATTGGACTTAGAATTCTGAGTTCTCCAACTTCCAGTCTCCAGTCTTCAGTCGCAGACCCTAAAATCCATGCCCTGGGAACACTCAAGAGGCCAAGTCATGGACCTGCTTTCCGAATCAGCGACGCATGCGGAGTGTTCACAGTCCATCTGCACCTCTGAATGTATATATAGAGTTCATGGTGGAGTCCCATGGAATAAAGGGGTAACTATCCACTGATTGATAGCCCCTTCATTGGTCTTTGTCCGTTAATAGGGGAAAAGCGGGTTGGCCAAAAGCGTTGATTAATTGGCAAAAGAAATGGTTTCTAAGGCACACAAAAATTAATATGAAACAGGTTGAATCAAGCAGGGGAAATGGGGAATATTTAGAACTGGCAAATGAAATGGTTTCTAAGACCTTAAAATAATATAAAACAAGGGGAAATAGGAAAATTTAAAATTGACAAATGAAATGGTTTCTAAAACCCACAAAATTAATATGAAACGAGTTGAACCATGAGAGGAAAAAGATAATATTTGAAATGGTAAAAGAAATGGTTTTTAAAGACCATAAAAAATATATGTAATAAAAAATAGGACATACATAGCTAATATTTTGAAATGTAAGGAAAGTATATGGATTTCTTATAGAAAGAACCTATTTAACAGATATTCTAATTTTAAGATGTATTATTTTAAGCAAGGTGAAGCTGGGTTTCGGGGAATTATAAAGGATAACAAGGCTAAAATTAAATACAAGAATTTTTTATACATGTATTAAGAAGTATTTATAAGTATTTTCAAGTATTTTCAAGAAGTATTTACAAGTATTGAAAATTATTTAAAAATACTTAAAAGTACTGACAAGTATTGAAAAGTATTGAAAAGTACTTAAAAGTATTTAAAAGTAGAGTATTTTAAAGTATTTAATAGTGTTTTATAGTATTGAAAAGTATTTAATAGTATTGAAAAGTATTTAAAAAATATTTACAAGAATTTAAAATAAATAACTTGTATTGAAAAGTATTTACAAGTATTCAAAATTATTTACTACTATTTACAAGTATTAAAAGTAAAGTATTTAAAAGAATTTACAAGTTTTTAAAAATATTTAAATTATTTGCATTTATTATAATAAACAATTATTTCAACAATTTCCCTTAATTCAAACTAATAAAACCATTATAACAAGGAGATCTGTAGAGGTTTGTTTTTTGCCTCAGGAAAACATGTACTTACAAGTATTTCAATTAATTTAATTTTAATTTAATAAACAATTACTTCAAACATTTTTTTTAAACCATTGTAATATGGAAACATCACTGAAGCAAACCTCATTTAAAATATTCCAATAAATCCTGAACAATATGAAATAGCTCCTCGTAGCCCACAAGAACGGTGGCAATTGCGGTGGATAGCTGAAGTCCTCTAATCCACAACCAGTTCCATTCTCTCCTGGCAAACACAGTGCTAAAGGAGAACCATTGACTGCTGGCCAAACATCCGAAACTAAAGAGTCCAAAAGTCCTGTGACACAATTGCAGTTTCGCTCGATGGACACCGAATAGTACCACGCCCGTAAGGACACAGAACAAAAGGAACAAAAATCCCACCAGACCGCATCTGCTATGCTTCGAGGACATGTGTCCCTCCCGATCGTTGATACTAAACTTTTTATTCTCCCGCCTCTTGTCCAAGATCTTGGCGAGAATTCCCATACCGCCGGTCCACATGGCAAGGGCACCCAGCACCGCATGAAGGATGTATGCCCAAAAGGACTTTGCCAGCCAACAGGAGTGACATGTTAACATTTGAGACCAAGCCACGAAGAAGAATAATCCCAAAGTGGAGTAAACGGCATGATTGGCCGTACGAAGTAATTTCAAACGGATGCATTTCCAGGCCACAGTTCCCATAATTACAAGCATCAGAGAGTTCGCCAGGAAATCGATTATCATCCGAAAGTAACCGATTCGCAAAAAGCGATTGACAAATGGTCCAGAGAGATCGAAATAAAAGCTTCCCTCACTCGCATTGGAGCTCATGATGGAATCTGTTCTTTGTTGTTTGTGAATTAATTTTATTTTCCAGTTAGATTTAGTTTGAGATTTGTCTTTGAATGATAGAATTCTATATACTGAGAACTACTTTGTCAGGGCATGAGTTACATTTCTTTGGGAGCTTAGTTTCGTTCTATTAAAAATTCCTTTAGATTCCATTATTATTACTAAGCCTTGTAGTCATCTTTATACCCATACAAAGCATTATAATGTTAGTATAAAAGTCGGTTTCATACAACTTTTTCATATAGTTTCATTGGGAACGATTGAAGAATTAAAAGAAACCGAAATTTCTAAAACCCTGCAAAAGAAAATCCATCATAGCTCAGTCAAAAAAACAATAATTTTAATTCCAATAGCACCTCCGTGTTAGTTTTTGTTTTATTAATAAATCTGCGTACTCAATTTTACACTTAAACTATATTACAATTTTTAACAATTTTCGATCATTTTAACGATGTAACCTCTTTAAAAAATGTTGAAAAAAATTGTCAATTTTTGTTTTCTGTCTAATATGGCAAGATCGATTCGGCTGTTGATGCTGATCATGAATGTATATGATTTATAGGATCGGAAATCATTTTCGAACCTATAAATCATATATATTCTTGATCAGCATCAACAGACGAATCTTTCAATTTATCTCCGGGAGAAAACATTTTTTTTTCAAAACTTTTCAATTAATTCGAACAAATTTTGCATCTTTAAAATTTTTAAAAATTGGTAAAAATTAGATATTTTTTTTAATTTTTAATTGGAGTATGCAGATTTATTAACCTTATAAAAACAAACATTGGAAAGCTTTCTAAATGAAAATTAATGCTTTTTTGGCTTAGTTATGAATTTTTTAAATTTGGATGTTTCGAAAAAATTGTCAAATAAAAATATAGAGATTGCTGATACATAAACTTATAGAAAAATAATATACAAGTTATCATTATTTTGATATTTTTAAAAATATTCGCAAATATGTATTCTGAGACATAAAAATAACTAATTGCAACTATCATTATATTGAAATTTTAAATAATTATAGAATAAGTAATAGTAGTAATGGTGATTTTCAAGTTATCATATCATATCATATCATATTTGAATCAACAACAAATCCTAGAAGTGAATATCTAATGTAGTTACAAACAATATTCTTTTTCTGGGCATCTTCTTCCTAGATAAAACCTTTAAAAATCTCTTGGCACCTAAAACCACAGCCTAGAATTTCTTCATCACAAAAAGAGTAAAAAAAAAACATTTTGGCCAATTTGTCAGTTATTAAAACGGTTATAATCTTTGAATCTTTTGCCTTACCTTTTTTGATGTTATTCTTCCTGGTTACCGGACTGGATTTCGTGGAGATCAAAGAAGTTTTGGAGATTTGTGAAAAATATAGCAGACATATAGCGTCATGAATATATTCAAATACTATTCAATGTTATATTCATGGTTCAAGAATATACTCAAAGAACATGGGTGCTGAGTTCTTGGACATCAATGGGATTTGCTGCAAGGGTTTTTAATGATAGAAATAATAAAAAAAATGGAATATATCCCAGGGTCTAGAATACTTCTCGTGTCAAAATTAAGGTCAATTCCGACAAGTTAATGAATAAATTAATTAATTCATAAGGTTCTTCATAAACTGTTGGATTAAAGTAGGTCAAAATTTGATGAAATTCCGCAACTAACGGCAGTTGATTTCCACAGATATTTCCCCTTTTCAAACCCCCTCAAAAAAAGAAACCAACACTTGGGTCAATTTTTTAAATTTTAAATTCATACATATTTATTTTGAATCTCTTTTTGTATACATTTATTTTTTGGTATTTTTGCAAAATCCGCTTGGCAACAAGACAAGTAGAAATTTCTAAAAAAGAAACCGCTTGGAATAAGAGTTAATTTCCATAAGAATGTGCCCAGTGGAGAAGTTCAACGGGGTCAAAAAATCATCAAAAAAATTCAAGAAGAGTCGCAAAAATCTAAAAAAGCAACGGCACAAAGAAAGCTGCTAATAAATTGATTTAAGCCAACTTCTGGGCTGGGCCGGCAAGTTGAAAGTTCATTGCCTTCTCTCTTTGGGCATTAATTATGGCCAAGTTGAATTTTCGGCAGGTGCTGACCCCAGCCTCGGGGCGAAATTTATGCATATTTCTGCACACGCCTGAATACGAATGTTTATAATCATAATAATAAGCCCCGGAGTACCATTCCGAATCTGGAATCCAAAATCCGAAGAAAAAAAAAAACCAAAAACCCAAAACCGAAACCGAATTTCTTTTTGTGCTTTTCAACGAGAGTCGCCACTTGACTGAACGTTAACCCCAAAAATGCTTGGGGAATAATTAACGAAACTCTACGACAATAATGTTGTCAACGTTCTTTGGATATTTTTTTTCAACAATTTTTTGTACACATTTCTTTACTATTTTGTGGACAATTATTTGTATTTTTTTTTTTGTCTATTTGTTGTATATTTTTCCTTTATCTCTTTACTGTTCGTTATCCCTTTTTCTCCTATTTTATACCTATGTTTTCCTCATGTTTTCCACTATTTCATCTCTATTGTTTCACTAATATTTTTAATATTTTTCTATATTTCTTTACTATGTTCCCTCTACATTTTCTTCATATTTTGTAATTTTTTTTGTCTGTATTTTTCCTATTTTTTCTCTATTTAGACTCAATTTTTTGTTGTTGATTTCTTAGGCGACTACTTCAAGTGCTCGCATGCTGGCCCAATAATATTCCTCTGATTGTGATTCGGCCCAGTCCGGTTTCTTTTTGGCATGATTATGCGAATTTCCATTGCCTTTAGGGCCACATAATTGGACAGCTCTTCATCGCCTCAACGGATTCCATCTGATCTCAGGTTGAAGGGAAGCGATCTTTGACGCTTGATTCACTAAACGTTGCCCTCGGGGGGTGATCTTTGAGCTGTAATGAGAGAATTGCTGGTTCCTTTTCCCACAGTGTATTGTATGTGTTTATATGTGTGTCTTTGCCAAATAACCAAAAGCCGGTACAGAGATTATGAAACTAAGAAAACTAAGATCCAAAAAGCTTAGAATACATATATGATGCTATACTAATTACTCATTGATTGTTGAAAAAATATTTAAGGTATTCTTTTGGGATTAAATACTTAGGAGGAAACTAAAGGAAAACTTTTGGTTATAAAGTGTGTGAAATATATGTATGTTTTCTATTGAAAAACGAATTTCTATAATGCATAAAGTTATTGAAGAAACTATTTTTTTAAATACTAAACTTTGGGGTCTTTTAGGTCTAATAAAGTGTGGTTTTTAAAGCCTGGTTTTGTAATAAAAGATCTTGGTTAATATTATAAAAAAAACAGACTTATCAAGCTTACTATTCTATGTTCAATACCATATTGATTTTATTATAAAAAACTGTAGTGCTTTTAAGGTTTTGCTCTCATCTCAGAACAGAAAATATTAAAGCAAGTTTTTGAGAGTTTCCTGCTATAAAAAATTGAACATATGTAAAAAAGCCTATGCTTTCTAAATAATAAATAATATTTCTTTTCCCAATAAATCTATGCTTTTACCCTGATTTTAAGCTTTTGCTAATCTTTATATTCTTGGCTTCTATGAGAACTTTTCTTCTAAATGATAATTGAATAATACTAAAAAATCTATCCAATATCTTTACCTTTTTTCATGGATAATTCAAGCTCACTGCTTTGTAACTTCCCCCAAGAGTCCTATTTTTCAAAATTTGCTAACAAAAAGCTAATGGCTACAAAATCCCCAAAGGCAGGGTTGTCTTCAATCGATTACCATATTCAGGGGTCACTCAACTGTACCTACGCCAAATACCGTTAATCGGTCATTAATCGATTCAATATTTAAGAATTAATTAAGCTCTCGACCCCGTACTACAAAATTTATGGAAATGGAAATGCAAAAAAAAAAAAAACAAAAACAAAAAACTAAAAGAAAGAAGAATAAAAAAATAGCGTAAAATTTAAATCGGTCAAAGCGCACGGGCCTCATTAATAAGCCATTCATTCCAGGTACGAGTTCAGGTTTTTTTTTGTTTCTTTGGGTCAATGATCTCACGCCTTGGAATGAATCTATAAGATCTCAGGCCTGAACTTTCAACTGGTCGAGGTGGAATAATTAAATTTATAAAAAAATAAAGATATTTTTGGCTATGCTAATCGCAGTTCTTGGCTCTCTCTTTCTCTCTCCGGCTTTTTTTCTTTTAGCTTCTGGTTAAGGCATTAACACACACACGCAAAAAAAAATGTAAAAAATTTATTGTGTTTTTTTTTTTCACTGGGATTGAAAATCGTTTGTTTGGTTTTTTTGCTTTGTTATTTTTGTCATATTTTTTTGGGATTCTTCAATATTTCAAATTAATTTGAATTCGTTTTGGATTCGTTTTTCGGGGAGGGTTTTTTTTTACAGAGTTGTAACAGCAGGTTCCTCCTTCTTGATTTCCTCCTTTTGGGGTTCTTCCTTCTGGATCTCCTCCATTTTAGTTTCCTCCTTCTTCATTTCCGTTTCCGCCATTTTCATTTCCTCCTTGGGGGATTCCTCCTTGATCATTTCCTCTTTGGGAGATTCCTCCTTCTTGATCATTTCCTCCTTCTGGGCCTCCTCCTTGATCATTTCCTCCTTCTGGGACTCCTCCTTGATCATTTCCTCCTTGGGAGATTCCTCCTTGATCATTTCCTCCTTGGGGACCTCCATCTTCGGCTGCTCCTCGGGACTCTCCAGGGATCGTCCGCTCTTGCGGAGGGCAAAACGCCTATTCTGAGTCAACAGATCAAAGTAGGGATGGAAATCACCATAGGACACATAACGTGCATCCCCATAGGCTGGCTGGACATGTCGTGATAGACCGGGCTCATCATCATCTCCAACAATGATGAACTCCTGCGGCTGCTGCTGCTGCTGCTGCTCGGTGGCTTCCATCTGGGCAGCTGACTCTGTGGCAGCTGCTGGCATCATCATTTGCTGTTCCTCCTCCTGCTTCATCTCGGTGGCCTCCATGACAGGCTTCTCCATGGCATCCATAGCCGGTGCCTTCTCCACAATTGTTCCAGGACGAATACGTGTGGGCAGGACACCCGAACCGCCGGCCTTCACAGGCTTAGCAGCAATCAAAACAGGCTGAGCATTAATAGGTTTAATGGAGGCTGCAGAGGAGGATCCCGTGCGGGATGGTGGAATCTGAGGAGGCTGGAAGATGTCCATCAGGGAAGCATCAGCCAGCAGGGGCACCGCTGAGGCAGTCAGATGTGGACGCTTCTTTTTCTTCTGCTGCTGGCCAGAGGAACCGGATCCCCTCACCGGCTGAATGGCGCTCTGGGGAATGTTAAGGATCAATGGCTGAGCCTGAATGCCCTCGGCCAGGGAGACCATGGATTGCTGATCCGGTGGCGAGAGTCCCAGCTGATTCCAGGGAATGGTAATATACTGAGTAGGACGACCCTGACGCCTCACGGGCACCGTCAACGGAGGCTGAGGGTAGGCTCCAGCGACCGGAAGACGCTGACGTTTGCCCTGATAGGCATAAGGATAACCCAGGATCTCAGGGGCAACATAGACAGTCTGTCCATTGCGGTTCAAGAGCAACGTGGTCTGCTGGGGACGACGGGTCTGAGCGGTGGACGAACCGGAGCCAGTACGGCGGAGCTTGGAACCGGACTCGACGGGTGCCTGGCCACGGGTGAACTGACGGATCTGACTGATCAGACTCTGCTGACCGCGTTGAATGAAGTTGGGCTGATTCTGAGAGCGACGGGTTGAGCTGGAGGAGCCAAAGATGGGCTCAGGCAGGAAACCCTGCTCCTGGCTAGCATCATCATCCTGCATCACCTCCTCCTCGTCATCATCATCCTCGTGCTCATCATCCTCCAGCTCTTCCTCATCGTCGGAGTCCTCGGGCACCTGGATGGGTTTCTTCTGGACCTTGGTCTTCTTGTTGTGACTCTGACGACGCTTTTGGTTCACAACCTGAGGAACCTCTTCCTGCTCTTGCTCCTGTTCCTGCTCCTGCTGCTGTTGCTGCTGCTTCTGTGGCTTTTGTTGCTTCCTCTTGGGCTTGGCAGCCTGGGTCTGCTTACGCTTGGGCTTCTGCTGGGGACGCAGCTCCAGGGAGTCATCATCCTCAAAGTGCTCCAGCGACAGATCATCCTCATCGTCATCGAACTCCTCATCGAACCTATTGCCCTGGAAATAATCATCCTCGTAGTAATCATCCTCAAATGAATCCAGTCGGTTGTTGAAGCGATTGGGACGCTGGCGACGCCTGTTGCCATTTCCGTTTCCGTTGCCATTGACATTGAAGTTACCATTGCCATTTCCGTTTCCATTGCCACGACGATTGCCATTCCTCGATGGCCTCTGCTGTACCCTAACCACAATATCAGGCTTCTGAGTGGTGGATGTGGTAACTGGAGCAGCGGTGGTGGAGCTAGTCTGAACCGGGGTCTCCACAAAGCTGGGCAGCTGTTGACCCAAACGATCGTTGATCCAACCGGAAACGGAACCAGCCAAGGTAGAGAACGACGAGCCCAACTGCTGGGCGGGATTCATGCCAAAGAGCCAAGTGCTGGGAGCAGCAGGAGTAGCTGGAGTAGCCTGCTTGCCCTGGATCTCCTCCAGCGAAGCCTGACGTGGCTTGAAGGCAATCAGGGGATGAATGATGAAGTCGGCCACCGTGTGGGTTTGTCCAGGAGCTGCCACAGGAGCTGCCACAGGAGCTGCTGCTGCCTTCTCCATGCCAGCTGCCTCCTGGAGAACCGGAGGCTTCTCTGTTGGCGACTTGGGCGCCATGACAGCCATGGGTGCATCCTCTGTTCCACACACAAATCACGGGTCATCACAGCAAAAAAAAAGCACGATCACACAACAAATAAAAAACACATGAAAAAAATAAATTGGGAAGGAGAGTTTGGGGAGAGAGAAACACATTCAGAGATTAATAGGAATGTTTTTGTGGCACAAATCCATGTAGAGATCCTACCAATCAACGCCATATCGGCGATGGGCGATTCCGTAGACTGCTCCACCTCTGGTGCTGGGGTAACAGCCGATGCCCTCACCTGACCCAGGGACAGGACGAGGACCAGGCACAGCCATGGGCCCACCACGAACTTGGTCATGGTCGTGTTGGAGGGGGGTTTAGTTTTTTAGGGGGCCTTGATCTTCGTCCGCTGTCCGTCACACTTTGCACACTTCGCACTTTTGCACTCTGTCTTGGAGTTCCCAAAAAAAATGCTCAAGCTCGGAACTCGGTCTAAGGGGTCCACAGATAGACGTTTCTTTTGCCGAACTGTTTAAGCGAGCGAAGTGACCCGAGCTTTTTATGTGCCGTCTACAAACGTTATTTTGAAGAATCGTTGCGAAGAAAGAGCGTGGGATTCTGCAGAGAGTCTACCAGTCTTCTGATTCTTTTTTGGCAAAGCTCTCTGGTGTCTCTCCAACTCTCTCGATGTCTCTTTTTTTGCCCTCTCTCTCTCTCTCTCTCTATCTATTCTCCCGAAAGCTGTAAATCAATTTGCGGTTTCTTGACCGCTGGCCAAAGATTTCAGGTCGCAGGTCGCAGGCCCCAAACGGTTTTAGAATATTTCCAAAAAACAAAAACTAGTTTAAACTCAGATCTCTGTTTCAGTTGCCAAGCAAATTTAGAAAATATTTTCTATATCAATTTCTTTTTTTGAAAACTCGTTTATTGTAGATTATGGCTACATTCGAAATCTATGGATTTTATGGGTTATTTTTATGATATTAATTTAAGAAATAAGCATTTTGACAATATTTTACAAATCTATTAGGTTAACTCTTAAAATAAATCTTTTTTAAATAAGTTTACAATTTTAGTATTAAAATTTAGTATTAAACAATGTAATTAATTCTTTTGTTTTCCTTTCATATAATTAATTCTTTTATTCTTTTCTTTTTTTGTAGGCTCAATATAAATAAATATGTGATAATGGAGACATTTTTCTGGCTGTTTGTAGGGTAAGTCCATTTGTCCATCAGCTTTTTTTTATATTTACTAGCCCAATTTATAATTTATCGAACTTAGCAAATTAATTATTTCCTTATCTTAACGAAACATTTGGTTTAACATTGAAAATATTTTCGATTTTTAAATTTAAAATTAAAAATTCTGATTTTACATCGAAAATAAATCTGATCTTAAAATTTTATACAAAAATTAAGTAACATTTCCAAAATTCAATTGAAAACACAGTTTGAATATTAATACATTAGTATATGTATTGTATATATTCAATAATTTATTTATTAGAAACGAAATATAATATTTATTTAATAATTTTTCTGGGGCATTTAAAAATAATAAATTTTAAATATTGATTCTTATAATATATCTCTTTGAAATAATTTTGTGTAATGTATCAAATAAAGTACAAAAAATATTATTGTATTGATTTTGAAATATAAAATGTGTTGTGCTTAGAGAAACTTGTTTATAAAAAGTTGTTAAAATTTGGTATATTTGGCTTCTATACTACTATAAAAATAATATATTTTCTTTTTTACTTAGTTTGGTTAAAATTTTAAATTGATTCTATGATTTTAATTAGTCAGACTACTATATTTTATAACCGAAAAATTAATTGAAAAAAAACACTTATAAATAATATAATATATTTTATATAAATAATAATTATTAATATTAATTTATTAATACCCTTATAATAGTATTATAGTTTTAGTTATAAGCTTGTAATCATGTGAGGGAGGCATTTCCGACCCCATAAATCCTATATATTTTTGATCAGCGTGAACAGGCGAGTCGATCTAGCCATCTCATGAAGAAAAAAAAATTTGCAATTTTTTTTTCAAAATTTTTAAGAGGTTACATCGCTAAAGTTAAAAAAAAAATCGAAAAAATTTTAGTTCTTTTAAATTTCAATTTGAGTATGGAGATTTATTAAGCTCTTAAAAACTAGAACAGAACTGCTTTCCGTATTAAAATTATATCATTTTTCGATTAGTTATGGGGTTTCTAAACATTGATTTTTACAATGAAATTGTCATATAATAACATCGATAAATATCGATTGAAAGAATGCGATTCTTTTCGGGTATCGCATCTTTTAGACAAAAGAAAGGGTTCTTGCTGTAAACTAACAATTAAATTAATTAATAAATAATATTATTATATTTATATATCAAAAATAATAGGATTTAATAATTAACAATGATTAATTTCCTTTTCTCTAACTAACTGGGAGTTACAAATTGAATCAATTTTCAGCTTTCTTCATAGACTCCACTTATTTAATTAGAACAAAAGAATCTTTTGTTCAAAATGATTATAAAAAATAATTAATAATTGCTCTAGAGAAATCCCCTTAAACTTTTGGTGGATTAATTTTCCAGTGGCGATTTCTTTCCGTCGAAAGTGGATCATTGTGCTAATTCCAGGAAATCTAAAAATATAACTTTCCCTATTAACTTTCCAATATATATGTACATATATGTCTGTGCTGACCCCGCCATCAGAGGTGACGAGATGAGGTGACCCCAACTTGGGAGGGCAACTTTCTTCTTTCACACACACACACACCTAAACACACACAGATAGACACACACGCACACCCATACATTTGGCTAATGAGTATTTATGCTTTTTTTATGCATTTCCATTAGCATGAAATGAACGGAGTGTTGGCTCTCGGATCTTTTTCGCGCTGCGAGGCCTCAAAAAGCTAATGAATACACGGCGTTCCTACTTCTGGGCCTTCTTTTGCATAATTTCGTTATTAAAACATTTGTTTTATGTCGCCCTTAATGGGCCGCAAATATGTTGGGTGGTTTTTTGAGGTCGTTTCTATCATCATTACAGCAGCCCGACGGTAGCACTGGAAAATTTAAATAATTGCCGACAGTAAATGGCATAATTTGATAAGACGATGTCCAGCCAAAAAAAATATATATATATGGCCAATTAATAAATCATAACATCAATAGATATCGATAATCGATTACCGATAAATAGATTTCCGAGGATGTGATCGGTAGAGAAGAGAGTCGGTGAAAATCTCTGAGGTTATGCGGCTTGGAAAAGTTTTGTTTAATTATCGAGCTTGAGATGTGCTGAAGCTTTCTTAGTTCGGTACAGTGCGTCACAAAAAAATGTATGACTCAAAAAAAGATAAGGGGTTACATCATTAAAATTGGTGAAAATTGACAAAAATTGTGATTTTCTTAAATGTTATATCGAGTAAGCAGATTTATTAACCTTAAAAGAACTAACACAGGAGTGGTTTCTGAATTGAAATTAATGCATTTTTGATGTAGTTATGCAATTTGTAAACTTTGATTTTCGCCAAAAATAGCATATTAAATTTTTAAGGGGTTGCATCGTAACATTTTCCATAATCTAAAAACCACTTTTATTTTCACAGGCCCTTTTTCCGAATTGAAATTAATGCATTTTTCACCTAGTTATGCAATTTGTAAACTTTGATTGTCCTAAAAAAATCTTTCAAAATGTATGAAATAAAAATGTCGAATTCAAGAATCTTGCTGAAGAAACTATCATTTTAATCAGTGAAGGAGTCAGTTCCGACCCTATAAATCATATATATTCTTGATCAGCATCAGCAGGCGAATCTTTCTAGGCATGATGGAAAACAAAAAAATTTTTGTAAATTTTTTCAAAATTTTTTTATGGGGTTTATCATTAAAATTGTACGATAAAATTGATAAAAATTTTAATTTATCTATATTTTAAATTAAGTACGCAGATTTATTAGCCTTATAAAAACTAGCATAAAACTGATTTTCGAATTAAAATTAATGCCTTTTTGGCTAAGTTATGAGTATTCCAAACTTTGATTTTTGTATTAAAATTGCCTTAAATTTTGTATTTTTTAGATTTGAAAACTTAAGAAACGGATTTATGAATCCTTTTAAAACTAACTTGTAAAAACTTTCCGAATTCAAATAATAAATAAATATCGGTTTTCGAAATTTACCAAAATATTCCGTTTCTTCATTCAAAAGTTAACAAAAATATTTTTATATTTTACATTACCATATTCAATACACAATATAGTTTTTTAGTATACAAATATATATATATATATATATATATATATATATAAATATTTATGTTAATAATCATAAGGTAATGTCTGCTTTCATTTTATTCTCCATTTTATATTTATAGTTATGGATTTTGTTTTGCCTTTACCTCAATTTTTAACGATCATTTGTATGGCAGCTATATGATGTAGTAGTTCGATTTTCATTTAATTTTACACAAAATTCTGGGTTAATATATAATGGCTATATATCAAATTTGATAAAAATCTGTTAAAAACTGGAAAAGTTATAATTAATTATTCTTTAAATTGTCCGATCGTTCCTATGGCAGATATATATGTATATATATAGTATACCGACTTATATACCAGTAAAATTACATCGAAGAATAACTCCATAGTTTCATTCAAATAGCTTGCTCTTTGTTCCAAAACAAATCCCGCTCACCTATGCTTATGATTCCCAACTTGTTCTAACCTCCCCGGAACGAAGTGACTGCTGCCGGCCACGTCTTAGATATGTGTTGTTTCAAAAGTTGCAAGTCATTGTTTATTAGTGTTCAGAGTTACTTACGTGTCATAGATACTTATTGTTCAGATACTTACTAATCAGAGTTACTTACTTGTCATAGATACTTACTGTTCAGAGTTACTTACTTGTCATGGTTAATTACTGATCATAGTTACTTAATGTTCATTGATAATTACTATTCATAGTTATTTTTTTTTTCTTTGAAGATTAAGATTAAAAATCTTAAAATAGCTTTCTTTACCCCAGATAATTGTTTAAATATCTTCGTCTGATATAATATACTCCAAAGCATTTTTTTGTTTACTATAAAAAAGAATATATTTTTTTACAATAGAAGTCTTAAGTGTGTATTAACTTTGTTACCCAAACAATGCCATAGACTAACAAAGTATCTATGGAATTTTCCCACAATAGTGATCAGATTGTTATAAGTCATTAGGAATCATAATCCATCTGCTCAACTTATAGTTTGATGGGTTAACTTATGGCTTTCAGAGCTGGCACTAAGTAGCACCGTCTTTTCGGTGAAAGAATAGAACTGAAAAGAATACATTTCCATGTAAGGCGATACATTTTGATTGATTTAAATGTCCGTTGCTTTTGGAATTGGGAACACATGATGGCGATGGTGAATCTGGTCCAAAAACCTGAACCCTGACCCTCCCTTCGAAAAGGGAGGAGCGCCATGGACAGTGACAAATGTCTCGGAGCCATTTTTGGAAGCTGAAACCTGGTAAGACTTATTGAGAATCTCACTTTTGACCCCAAAAAAAGAATTGGCTCAAAACCCCAAGCGGCTGGGTCATTTGCTATTTTTTCTTTTTATTTTTTTGTAACGTATTTTCGAGGCGACCCAAAATGCAAATTTTTGGGGCAAATTAGCCAACAAACAGGGGAAGGCAGGAGGAGGAGGAAACTGCAGCTGGGAATGGAACTTGGACTTGGACTTGGTCTTGGAAATGGAAATGAAAATGGAGTCAACGTTCTGCTGCTGGATGTATCTGTTTTCGGTTTCTGGTTTCAGGTTTTTTGGTTTTTCGGTTTTTGATTCTTGGCCCCGAAATCCGTGCATAAATCAGTCTCGAGCATTTGCATAGTTTAATAATTTGCCAATCGGCCTGCAAACCATTTCTCTTCTCGGCGGCCCCCCTTTCCAAAAATCCAATCCAATCTCATTCGATGCTATTCTATAAGGTTCTATCTACTATCTACTGGCTGGCGAAATTTCTATTGTCTTTTTTCGGGTGATTTTTATGTGTCTCTGTTGTCTATGGTTTTCGCCATCCGGTGAACGTTCCTCCCCATGTATAAAATGTCTTTGCCGGGCACTTGTTGAACCATTTAATAGAGTCACTCGTCCAGCGACGCATCAGGGTCGAAATTCAAGTTCCAGAAAAATCATCAAAGCCTTCCAGCAACAAACAAAATCCCCAATCATTATGGCAATTAAGTTGGCAACTCTTTTGGCCATTGGCCTGGCTTTGTTGGCCCTCAGCGAAGGTGAGTTAGAGGTCGATGAGAGCTCTCTGATGAACTCTCTGATATGATCATTATCAAAGAATCCAAATCATTAGTAAAAAGCTTTAGTTCATGACTATCACTAAGCAAAGTATAAGCAAGCTAACAGTCCTTTAACTAAGGGGTTTTCTTTGATTTATTGAGGGGAAATACATTTTGAGAGTTTGTTTTGTCAGGAAAAGCATTTATATAATGTAAAATAACATACTTCCTCCTCCCAAAAGCCCGTCATGTTCCTGGACATCGGCGTCAGCACTATAGCCAGCGAGCTTTGATAGCCAAACCCCATGCCGGACCTCAGGGACGTGTCTTTCCTGGAGCTGTGGCCATCAAGAAGTTGGTTTTGTTGAAATTCAAGAAAATTGTACCCATCTCCCTGATCCTGTTGAAGTCCAGCAACGAGAATGAGGCTGAATTGGTGCCTGTTTATCCCACCGATCAGATTCCTGAGAATGTTCAGTTCATTCCCACACCGAATGGCATCTCCGGTCACAAGGATGTCCAGGCTATTGCCATTCCCAGTGAGTTGCATGATCAACTGCAGATTAATGGTTTGTCCAACTTGGAGAACATTGAGGCTTTGCTGCAGAGCAGCTCCATTGCCTCGGCCGATCATGAGGGAGATGCTCCGCCAGTTGGAAATAGCATTGCTGTAGCCCAGCCCGAGGATTTGGTGTTGGATCAGCCGGAGAATGATGAGGATCAGCTGTTGGAGGGTGTGTCCTCTGTGACTCCAGTGGCTGCTCCAGTTGCCGCTCCTGCCCTGCGTCGCCTGTCCGCCGATGAGTTGCTCCGCTCCGGAGTGCGAAACTCTGCCCAGCAGCAACAGACCAGTGTGGAGGAGATCCCTCTGCTCCTGTACTCCGCCAACGATGGCTCCGTTTCGGTCTCCGGCTCGGGATCGGGTGTCTCCAGTGTGGGACGTCGCTTTGTGGCCGCCACTCCTGCCCTGCGTCGCCGTCAGCACCAGCAGCAGTACTTCAACTGAGGAGGAGGAGGAGGAGCTACCAGGATCTAGGATTTAGGATATACTTTCATCCTTCAGGCTACTCTCCCCTCGATGGCTGTCACATGGGCTTCACTGTACTCACACTACCTATTTTTTTTTAGACTGAACTGAATATAAATTAACGTTATGAGCGAAATGACAAAAGGGGGTGACATGTGCTTCCGGGTGGGCAGAGTCTCAAGCGGCTCCTGTTCCTGTTCCTGTTCCTCTTCCTGTTTTTGGTGTGCACCGAGAGAAACGGGGATGTGAGTCATGGAGCATATTGTTTAGCTAAAAACATATGCATATACATATATGTACTCTGCCTGTGCTCTCGAGTGGGTGGGCATGTCCTTGTTTTGGGGCATGCCGCTTATCAGGCGACTGCAGTTATCAGGCCTTTTGTGCTTGGGCTTTGTGCCGCTGACGTGACATGTCCTGTGTCTGTGCCTCAGTTTCGGTTCCAGGATCAGACTCACTCACTCACTCCCAGTGCTCTTGTCTCAGTTTCAGTCGCCTCAGACGCTGATGTCCTCGTGTGTGGCAGGCTGCCAGCAAAAATTTTTAGTCAAGCCAACAAACAAAGCGGCCACAAAACACATGGCACAAATTTTGCTTAGGCGCAAAAGTCAACGGCACAAGAGGACAAAACCCACTCACCTCCCCATCCGAAAAGAAAGCCAACCCAAGCCAGGACAGGAAGCACAACAAAAGCGAAATAAAGATGGTATATAGTATGTTTGGGCCAGGATACCCTGTAATGGTGGAGCAACCAAGGAATACCCTTTAAAGTGTGCATCTGAAAGTCTAGCTAAGAGTTGCTAAGAGTTGAAATTAACTGCATACTTTTTGGCGGAAAGAAAAGTGTCTTGGGGGGAAGTACACTCGGAAATATGAACTTAAGGCTTAGAAATAGAATGAAACAAATATTAGAATAATGTTTATGACAAGGTTAACAACTTTAACACATCGGAATATAGAAAATAAGCTCATTTGTTTACTTATTTCTCAACGTTTTCCTTACTTTAAATCCACTCTGAGGTAAAATCCGCTCTTGTGGCTTATAAGGACATGTCCTTTTCCCCTCTTAGGGTATCACAACATTATTTCCTTCCCAGGGCAATCGCCTATATATGTATATACCAACACCGCCCCTCTTTCCTCTCTCCCCCCGGTCGTGTGTCTTATTTGCCGCATTTTTGACAGCAAAAGGACGGTTCCCCCTTTACTCCCCATTTTTGCACTGAGATTATGCAAGCGTTTTCCAAATTAGCCCAGGCGTACGGGAATGCAAACAAAAGGGACTTTTCCGTTTTGTCACATTCGAGAAGACTACTTTTCTCTTCGAAACTTTAACAATGCAGTTTGTTAGCACACAAAAAAGTCCACAGGCAAAATCGTGAAAATTAAGTGTACACATTTTGTACCTTCAGCGATTTGTAATTAAAGAGGAAAGTCAAGAGGAAGTTGATACCAAGAATAAGTACAAGGAAAAGGGAATTAGTTGGTAAAGGATGTATTTTTTAAATGTCTTATATCTTATTTGTTGTGTGTGTTTAAAAGTGATCAAAAAAAATTAAGTATATATATTTATTCCAATGGGGATCATCGTCCATAGTAAGGCGGCGGTACATAGATGGTCACCTTTTTGCCATTGTTACTATTATTGTAGCGGCCACAGGGCGGTGGTCCATAGTAAGTGTAAGTGCAAACAGTGCAGCAATTAATGGGCGTGGCCACCACCACCACGGGCGTCTTATTATTGGGATAAATGGGGGGATAGTAGGGCATTGGGGGCGGTGGCGGTGGAGGAGGAGGTGGTGGTGGTGGCAAAGGACGAGGTGGTGGATAGGGTCTCACAGGAGTGCAGCAAGTCTGCGGAGGTGGTGGCGGTGGTGGTGGAGGAGGAGGAGGTGGCGGTGGATACGAAGGATCCACCACATATGTCTCACAGCAGGTTTGCTTCTGAAAAGCCTCCAGGGTGCAGGGTGAGACACAGGAGTTAAAGAGTCCCGTTATCCAATCGTAGATCACACCAAAAGTTCGACCCTGACGCTGAGTGCTATCATATGGCCCAAAGGCCTCAACCGAGGTGTTCAGTGTCCCCAAATCCGAACCAGAGCTAGAGTCGAGATCCTCCAAGCGGGAAGAGCGATTAAAGTACACATACTCAAAGTTATCGTTGATGGTGGAACTCTTTGAAGAAGTTCTTGGGGAAGTTTCAGTACCATTTAAAGACTTGGGTCTCCAGCGTTGCAGACGAACCTGTTGCTGTGCTCGATGACGAACTGGGATGGTTTAAACATGACAAGGAAATACAGAATTAATCACTAGATTAGCTTAAAACATTATTCAAATACATTGAAGGTGACTTAACTATAATTACCACCATCAACAAACCTCAAACACATTTAAAAACAAGGTTTTACAACAACATTTAAAACAATTCAACAATAGCCAACAAGCTACAACAACAGCAAACCATAATCAACATTATTCAACAACATTAAACAAAATTTAAAGAGAGTTTAGTAAGTCCCACAACATTCATTAGCATTCAGACACATTTAACATCACTCAACAACATTGATCGAAATTTAAAGAGAATAAACCAAGTTCAATAACAGTAAGACACATTTAACAAGATTCATCAACATTCCAAATCCCTCAAATACACTCAACTAAAACTATATATATTAAACAACATTCTGCAACATTCAAAAGCATTCCCCAACATTCAACAACATTCACACTCAACAAAACTATTACTCAACAACACTCAAAAACCTCCAAAGCACAACGTTTAACATCATTCAACAGTAATCAATAAATTTTTAACTAAACTCTGAACCAAATTTATAAAAAGTACACCAATTTCAACAACATTCACCAATGTTGCTAAAACTTCAATTGAAACAAAAAATTTAGTGCAAACAGTGCTGTGTAAATTAACGAAATGCATTTTTTTTTTATTCTCGTGCTTACGTGGGTGACAAAAAATAGGTGCTGTTGGGATCTCTTAAAAAAAAATTGTGTAAAAACTAACGTCCATAGAAGCCGAATCCATCGAATCCGCTGAAGGCATTGCTATTGGCATTGGCACCACCACCGCCGCCGCCGCCACCGAAACTACCGCCATTGGCACCGGCATTTGCCCCGGATCCACGCCCGAAGCCACCACCACCACCACTGCCGGCACTGGCATTGGCGTTGGCATTGGCCGACTGTCCATTTCCGGCGGTGGCTGTGGCACTGCTCGAGGCCGAGTTGCTCACAAAGCCACCGGGTCCCTTCTGAGAACTGGTCTGGGCATTCGTTGAGGCCGAGGCATCGCCCTGCCCGTTGTTGCCCTGAAAGATGCTCTGACTGTTGGCATCACTGGTGGCATCCTGACGGTTACCTTCACGCACCACCTGCGTATTGGTATTGGCCGTATTCGTCGACTGTCCAAATTGGTTATTATTGGTGGCCGTAGAGCCACTATTCGAACCAATGGTTTCCCTTCCGCCCTGCTGTGTATGCTGTGTATTGGCATTGGCACTTGAAGCCTGCTGCTCACCAGGTTTGAAGTTCAATGCCTGACTCTGTGAATTCTGGCCGCTCTCGAAGCCACCGGCTGTCTGGGTATTGTGCGTATTGGTATTGGCCGAGCTCACCTGACCGCTGCTACCATCTTGGGCCAAGTTAGAGCCAATGCTACTGCTCCCGGTATTACCTTGACTGGCATGATTATTCGTGGATGCCTGCTGGTTGAAACCAGGTCCACCCTGAGCATTGGCATTGCCATTAGCCTGATTCTGGTTACCCTTTTGGCGTTGCTGCTGCGGCTGCTGGAAGCCACCAAAGCCGCCACCAAACTGGTTTCCGCCTCCAAACTGTGGTCCTCCTCCAAACTGGGGCCCTCCACCAAACTGTTGTCCACCAAAGCCTAGAAAAAGCTTGAGTTTAAAAAAGGGTTCTATAGTTATTTCAAGAAAGGTCTTACCTCCGCCAAAGTTGCCAAAGCCACCGCCAAACTGCCGACGTGGTCTATCCAAACCCAGGTTAAAGGGACCCGGTCCAAAGCCACCTCCTGGATAACCGAATGGCACAAACTGTGCCCTCCTCTTGGGTCGCCTATAAGCAACCGGTTGCTGTCGCACCACACGCTGGAAGGGACCACCGAAACTCTGACCATTGGTGGCAGCATTACCTCCAAATCCACCTGTACTGGCCGAAGTCTGACCACGTCGTGCCTTGCCAAAGGCATTCGAATTGGAGCGTGTGTCCGTCACCGTAACTCCACCATATTGCTGGGTATTCGATTGCGAGTTGCTGGAGGAACCAGCCCGAGCACCCTTACCCTGAGCATTCACCTGAGCCTGTGACAAGGTATTCGAATTGGCCACATTCCTATCCAGATCTAGGTTAAGAACACCCAAACCCAGACGCAAGTCACCATCGGCACCACGCTGAAGACCAAAACCATTTCGTAGATTCTGTGGCGACAGGGAGGCACCTAGACCGACATCACCGATCCGGAATTGATTGGCAATGCCCTGGGACACAGCTCCATTGGCATTTGTTTTCGTTCTGGTCAGTGTGTTGCCGATCTGCAGGCCACCGAGATCGATGTCACGCGTCTGAGCCTGACTTTTGGTCACCACACGTTGGCCATTCTGTTTGGTCACCGCCCGGGAGTTGGATAGACCCTGAGTGTATTCCACATTATTGCCAAAGTCCACCTGTCGCTCATAGGCATTCGTATTGGCCTTGGAGACGGATCCTTGACGCTGCTGACGGGGCTGCTGCTGATACACCTGTGGTTGGTAGACCTGAGGTTGTTGGTAAACCTGTCTTGGTTGCTGATACACCTGAGGCTGATAAACCTGCGGTTGTCGATAAACCTGAGGTTGATAAGCCCCCGGCTGTTGGTAAACCTGAGGCTGATACACCTGAGGTTGATAATATTGCGGCTGTCTATATACCTGTGGCTGGAATCCTCCAAAGCCGCCAAATTGTGCCTCAGCTGAAAGGGTGAAAGGGTTAAGAATCTCAATTAAATTTTAATTTAAATAAAAAATGGTAATATAGAACTTAACCAGAACTGATTTGGGGATTTAAATACAAAATTATGTAGAAGAAAATTTAGCGGAAAGTTTCTTAGTCTTCATATTTATATTCTTTTCATTAAAACTTGTTTCACAATCCGCTTTATTTTTCTACTTTTTTCATTCTTATTATTATTATTTCTTCTGTTTTTTTTTTTTGCTTTTATGCTCTGCCATTTTGTCTTAATGTTTTATAATTTTTAAGTGTTTGAGATCACACAAAAACGAAAGAGATGGCTGAAAGCTGGTTTCTTAAAAGAAGAGAAAGAGATAACGTTTTCTTTATGCAAACATCTAACTGGTTCTTATAATAATTTCTATAATGTTGTTTCTGTAACCAAAAACATCAGGTATTCAACACATGTTCATATAACAAATTTAATATTTTAAAGCTTCTGGTAATATTGTAGCTTAACTTGTGCAAAATCCATTAAAATTATATATAAAATGCTGCAGAATTTTCTTGATTTCAAAGTTTCATGATAGTAAATTATTACAAGAAATTTAAAATTCCCAACACATTTCATTATGCTTTCAAGAAGCAAACAATAAATGTGAATTCTGATCTACCAAAGCCGGTGTTTACCTTCTCAAATATGGCTTAATATGCGCATCCGTCGAAAAACCAAACCGAGAGCAACCTTTAAGCCGCAATGCAAAATCCTATTTTTCCGCAAACACAAAACCCCCTGTTCCCTACTCTTTCTAGCAAACCTATATCGTTCTCTTTCTGTTTAGGAGGAAGTACGGTGGATCCTTTATGCCAAAGTTGACAATGCAATGCACGTAGGCGCAAAATCCAGCGATAATTTTGCAATTATTGCTGTAATAACAAAGCCCCCAGCATGTCAATGTATGCACTGAGAGAAATTTAAATACAAAAAGTGTTAGAAAATATAAAATTTATCAATTAAAGTACCTTTTACTAATCAATAAATTATTCGAGAGGCTTCATAGATAAATAACCTCTTGCTTAACTTTAAACTTCTATAAAAGTTCTCTATGTGCTACAAAGATCCCCTAATTTTTCTCACAGTGCCTGCTTCCCTGTGTGCGTACGGGTATATATCCTGTCATTATCCTGTCTATGTGGCGTATTCCAAAAATATTTACCTTGCGGTTGACAAACTGCCAGCCAGCACACAATTAATCCAACAAATGCGTGTCGCATCCTGGCTCCCCGTATCCGTATCCGTATGCGTATCCGCGTGGCTTCTCCTCCCGTATTCCCGTACTCCGTGTTCCGTATTCCCGTACTCCGTATTTCGTATAACGTATTCCGTATTCCTCAATCCGTATTCCGTTGCCGTAGTGCCCTCTCCGCCGTTGCGAAAACAGCGCACGCAATGAAATGAGCGCGTTTTTGGCCGCTGGCCGACTTTTATTGTCTCTCCGACCGTGTATTTTTGCGGTCTCCGTTGCTCGTTGTCGTTGTTCGTTGTTCAGTTTGGTTGTTCCTCCAGTTCTCAGCCACCTCTCACAAAATACACAGAAAAAAAATATGGCTAATTAGCGGAACTCGCACAAGAATTGGTTAACTGGAAATAGGAATAATAACCACCCGATTTTTACGATCAGAAAATTCTGCAGCTTCCCTAGAGGTGCATTTTATTCATATTTATGTTAAATTTAAAAGTATTAGCTCAGAATAGACTTATTTTATTGTATTTATAATACTTAATTGTATTATTTATTTATTTATTTTCTGAAAAAGAAACTCTCAAAATTCTATTACTTTTATTAAAGAATTTTCTTCAATGTTTAATGATCACCTTTCACATATTTGTATTTCTTTCGAAAACTGCTGGTTGAAAACTTTGGTAAAATATTTATTAATTAATAAAATATTTTACTATATTTCGTATAGTTTATTTTATTATTTATTTATTTCTATGCAAAGAATGTCTCCAATCCTATTAATTATATTTAAGAATTTTCTTCAAAGTTTAATGTTCACCTAACACATATTTTTATTTCTATCAAACTGCAAGACAAAATAAGTGTTGAAGAATTTAAAGTTCAACACAAAAATTCTAATTGAAAAATGAGTAGACATAAATAATTAAATACTTAATTTTGTGTCTAAAAAATTATAAGACAAAAATGCTTGTTGAAAACTTTATTCAAATTAACAATTAAGAATTAATTCTATTTTTTTTTGTTTCTATAAAAATTCAAGCCAAAAAAGTTTATTGAAAAATAATAATATTAAAAATATGATATTTGAATAATTTTTCGTTAATTAATTAATATTAAGCTTTAAAATATTAATTATTTTTCATCGAGCAACAGTTTCTTCTTTGCACAGAGTAATTTCTATACAATTTTGATAATTAAAATAAGTTCATTTTATTATTTTATTTATTAAAACATTTGGATTATTTAAAAGAATTCAAAACTTTTGTAAACAATTTAATTTCAAGTCACAAATCACTTATGAGCTTTTTGTTAAAAAATTCACCAAATACAAAAAAAAAAATACATCTTATGATTAATTGGTAGAGCTTTCTATTAACATTTTAATTCGTATTAAAACACGATTATTTTTTCGGTGTACCTCTCTTTATCTTTGGCTTTTTCGGGTTTTTATTTTGTATATTTTGTTTGTTAATTATTTTTTTTTTTGTATTTTTTGAGAGCGCGCTTGAAGTTGGTTAGCGTCGAACGTTCCGTTTCGTTCTAAGCCCGCTGCCGGTTTGGTAATCGCGCTTTAAACTAATCAATAATTAACGCCCGACTTGACGTCCAACCGTCAACACGCCCATTGTTCGGCTACTCGGAGACTCGAAAAAAAATCACCGAATTCATGAATAACTCGTTTTTTGGATAGGGAATAAAATAACACTTTGCCTGATCACTGTTAGACTTTGTCTGTTTTTCTATTTGTTTTTGTTGTGTTTTTTTTTCCTGTTTCGATCACAAGTTTGGATGGTCATTAGATTAGAGATTTTCTCTGTGCCTTTCAAAGGGGGTTTTTTGCAGGCCTTAGCGATGGATTGAGGCATATATTTGAATCACTTAAGATTTTGGAGAAAGCCCCGAAGTGAAATAATGTTTAGAAAATAAGGAAACTGAAATGGGGGATTCCTATATTAATATTAAATTATTTTTATTGTATATAACAATATTTCTAAAGAAATGTTAAAAGGTTTTCATTACAAATATTTATTCATTGTTTATAAATCATGTTTATAAATGATAAGTTTATTTTAAAACTTTTCAATTACTTGACTTTATATTTCAGTCTTCGTAACTAACGCTAATTCTTAATTATTATTATTAAATAAAAAATATTAAAGAGTTTTCATAATAAATATTTATTTATTAAACATAAATTGTATTCATAATTAATAAGTTTTTTTTATATTTAACAAATACTTTTCCTTATATTTGATTAAAAGATTTTAATAATAAATGTATATTTATTTATAATTAATAAGTTGCTTTTATAAATGATGAGTTTTTATTACGATTTTATAAATACTTCTGTTTATATTTCAGTCTTCAAAAGATCTTAAATCCTTCTTCCTTCTTAAATCTATAAATTTTAGTTAGGTAAAAACATATTAGTTATGCAAATTTTGGCAACTTGTAGACGTTCCAAAACGTGCTACATAAATTAGTATGCAAATTCAAGCATATCATTTTAATAAAAGAAGATGGAAATTTTGGGTTTTAACTTTAAAATTTTTTATAAATGATACATAAATAAATATGATATATTATAAAATGTATTTTAAATATAAATAGTTGCTTTACATTCCTCAAAACAAATAGTTTTTAAGACTTCTGTCCAACTTCAAGTTCCTTGTCTCTAATAATTCCGGGAATAACCCCATTGTCGACCTCCAGATGAGTGAGTATTCAGCCCCAGTCTGGGTTTCATCTTCAATTTCCGCTAATATCTCGGATCGGATGAGGCGACTCTATCATTATCATGGTCAAGTTTTTGTGAAGTTCAACGTCAATGCACGCGCTGTAGGTCAGTCGGAATACGCTCGTCTCTCGACTGAAACACCTGTCCTACACCACCCCCCCCTTTATTTGAGTCCGTAGAAAAACAAATACTGAAAGCACCGAAATAAAAAATAAACCTGTCTCAAACTCGGTGGCTTTAATATCTCTTACATTTTTCTTCCCCCTACCCATCTATTGACAAAAGTTTTTAGCAGCCATTTGAAAGGGGGTTTCGAGGGGGGCTTAGACACAAAAACCCGTCCCGAGAACAACGTGTCCATAAAATTAAGCGAGCAGGTTCTAACTAATGAACTTGTGGATACATTTGTATCTTTTGCCGGCTCAGCTTCCCTTTATCAATTAATTGAGCTGCTAAACAAATAACAAAATAACAAAATAAACAAAACACCAAACAAAAGCAAAGCCAATTGGATTTATAGTCATTGTGGATAATGATGTACATATACTCCTGCGATATTGGTGCTTTTTTGGATTTCGAATTTCGGCAGGGCTTACGTTTCGTTTTGCAAATCGAAATTTGTACACTGCAAGAAATGGTCATTGAACGGTAACAACGACGAGGCCAAAGTAAATTGGGTCAATATAAACACACACTCACACTCGGGCACACGGACAGGAAAACTTTCGCCAGAGGCGCAGGGAAGGGGAGGAGGGGGTGATAGTGCACTGGGAGAAACTAAGGGAATATATACAAAATAGATATGGTAAAGACGGGTATTTTTGGGGATATATTTAATAATATATTTTATGATTACTAATTAATATTAATAACAATAAATACTATAGATATTTTTTAGAGAGTGTGTGTATAAAATAAAGATAGAGGAAAGTATTAAACATTTAATATGTGAACTAGGTATATCTCCAACATTACTTTAATTTTACTAATGACTAAAAATAATAATAAATACTAAAGTAATTTTTTTAAGAATTTCATTATATTATTTACATATGGGAGTTATATAAATATAAATATGTGAACTAGGGATATCTCCAATTATACTTTTTATTTTAAAAAATTAGTATTTATATAAAATAAATACTATAGTATATTTTACATATATTACATACTATAGTAGTATTTTATATTAATATATTAATGTGGTCTAGGGATATCTCCAAAAATGCTTTAAATTTTTACAAATGAATATTTATAATAATAAATACTATAGTTATTTTTTAGAAAGTTCCAATTATATACTTATGGAAGATCTATTATAATTAAAAATTTAAATTGTTTTTTTATAGGTATCTATTTTATTAAAAAATTATAGTTTTCTTAGTTATAAATAACAATACATTTAGGCAAAGAATATCCCACTTAAAGCCACTTAAAGCATAGCCTAAAATGAATGTTCTTTTTAGTTTAGGAAAAATAATATTAATATTAATTTATTATCTTTCATAAATATATTTTCCTATCTAATATTATATACAAAATATATTTTTTTTGTAGGCTTAACATAATTTATATTTCTTCCAGTGTTTTGTGTGCGAAAGGGAGAGGAACTTAACTTCAGTTTGGTGTTCGATATAAAAAATTGGTTTTTATTGTTATTTCATTTCTAGCGTTTATCGGTCTGGCGGCATCTTTACGCTGACGATTCTGTTCTCCCCCCCTTGTCTGCCTCTACGTCCCTGCTCCCCTGCTCCCCTCCCTCCTCTTCCCTGCTGAGTGATTTGGCCCGAACCCCCCAACCCCTCTCTGTTGGTTCTAGCCAGCATATTTTATGGTTCTGCCTTGAACGCGTGAAATGGAGTAGAAAAATTGTTTTTCTATCAAAGGCAAAATATCGCAGCAAAACTCTCAACATGGAGCCCCCTTTGAAAATCCCCCCCAGAAATTTTTGTTGTATTTTTTTTTTATTCGCTGGACGCCCCTGGCTTTGCCCCGATCTCTCTACCTCCTTCTCCCTTCTCTTGTTCTATCAATTTAATGCCAGCAACTTTAACTTTTTGTAACTTTTCCTTTTTTTTTATTTAACTTTTTTCTTTTCTTTTTTTTTTTTTGGTTCAGTTCTGTTCAGTTTTGGTTTGGTTTTTGGTTTCTGGGTTTTCTCGATGTTGTTGATGCCACTTGTCCTCCAAACGAAACTGTCTGACTTTGATTTGTGCTGCTAATTGGAGTTTCATTTGCTCAAGGGTTCAGGGTAGGGGGAAGGTGGAAAATACGAGTGTGTGTATGTGTGTGTGTGTGTGTTGTGGGAGGGCCAGTTTCCCCGGGAGGTGGGAAAAGCGGAAGGTAAACTTCGCGTTCTAGTTTATTTGAATTCAGCTCCAAGGGCTCTTCTCACCAGGGCAAGTTCAATTTAATTACATCTCTGGCTCTCCTTTCAGAGTCCAGTTGAAGGTTCAGCTGAAATTTAGGAAAGGAAATATCGGGCTTTATATGTATATATTTACTGAATGTCTATCTAGTTTGAAGGATCAAAATTGTAAGAGGTTTATATGAAATAGATTTAAACTAGGTGAGGAGAATTGTAGTTGAAAATTTATTTATTTATAAATAATATAACTCTTTATACAAATTAAACTTAATTCATATATTAAACTCTAATCCAACTTTGTTTGTTTGCTTCAAAGATATAGCTGACAACTCTTAATTGTTCTTTTAGTTTTGGCCCCTTCAAGATGTTGGTCTTTTCTCTCTGTCTCTTCTGATGAGTATTTTATGATAATTTGTTTTGACAAATTTTTCCAAGTTGAAAATGTTCGTTTTTGAGGGTAAAGTTTGGTGGTATACAGTTACAATTCTTGCGGGGAATCTGCATTTTGCATTTTGCATTTTGCATTTGGCATTCGGTGAGCCATATGTTTGTCTAGGGTTGCCACATACACATATGCTGCACACTCCTTGTACTTCCCGGCTGCAGTGTTTGTTTTCAGTTTCAGTTTATTGCCGACGCGTCTGCATTGCGTCTTTTGTTATTATTACATTTTCATAAATGCAAAAGGATACGAAGGCACACTCACACATGGACACACACTTGGTTGCTTGATAAATTCCGTAAAGTTTTTGTCTGCCATGCGGCTCGTTAGCTGCCACACTGTCCCGTCTCTGTCTTCGTTGGCTTCCTCGTCCTTGCTGCGGCTTCCTGTGGCATCCTTTCGATGTGCGTGAAAAATTGCTTTCAACTGCAGCGTTGAAATAAGATATTTCAATTTTGTATTGTAATTTCAGAACTTAAAATGTAATTTTTGAAGACATAAGGGACTCCATTGTATGGAGCCCCTCAGCTCTCCTTTCTTTTTTTTTTGTCCCTTTTCGTGTTCGTCTTGGGCTCCTCTAACTTCATCGTCTTTCAAAACTGAACTGTTCAATAAATATGAGCCCAGGCACACGGTTAACAGAAGCACTGAAAAAAAATTGTTAGAAAAAAGGGAAGAACTTTTAAATAATTGGAACTACAATTACATTTTGTATATTACTTATTTTATTTATTTTTAAAAGCAGAATATCTTATACTTAATATTAAAATTCTGTTAGATTTTCAATGGTTTTCTGGCAGTCTTCTTGTTTTTAGAGACTCCCCTCCACCGTCATCCCCAATTGTTGCTTCTCTTTGGGAAATTATGCAAACAGGCCAAAAAACGTTGGAACCCTAGACAAGAATGAGATGTCTCCCTTCTCCGCCTTTGTCCTTTGCCTCAGGCTCAGTTTTTTGCCCTGTAATAAAGTAGCAACTGCACCGCCCAACCACC